TCAAGGAGAAAATTTAAAGCATTGATCGAAATATATTTAATTGTAATATTGTTAAAGAAATAATATAATAAGTATCGATGATCGGAAGATTATATTTAATTCTCTTATCCCCTTTTATATATCCTCTTTCAATTTTTAATCGCGGTAGTGAATGATTACGATTCGATAAATATTTATCGTTTTGATACAGTTTCATGTCGTTAATTCATTTTTAATTAATTAATTTTTGTTATTATTTATAGCAAATTATATTTCGATACTAATCATAATTGTGTTTAGTAAAAAAATTATAGTATACGAAGCGTTCCTTACCACTACTTTATTACTCGAGAGCCACCGTGCGAATAATGACAAAGCGGTAACGTATAGCGCGCTACTGTTTATATTTTATATTGCCAAAATCAAACATCGTTATCGATAATTCGTTACCAAAATATTTTATATATTATAAAATATACATTAACGTGAAATATTATATTATAGAAGCATTTAAAGTTATGGATTAAAATTGATTATTTATTAAACAATTTGTCACGGGGCCTTTCGTTATGCTAACTATTTGCATATATTATTCAATTGTTTTACTTCATGTTACTTCATTTTACTCCGTACGTTCCAAACATCCTTTCTTCTTTTACGTATCTTTCGTTATTTTTCTTTGTGGCATTCACTCACTCACGAAAACACGATTTAATTAATCAAATACGTGGCGCACTTTGCACGAGACTCTCAATAATTATACAAAATAATCATACGAAACTTATATACGTACTTAAATGATAAAAGAGCAACATGACCTTTACACGAGATTAAAATCATTCGCTACTTGCTACAGCAATGAGTATGCTACTGATACGCATATTATATGCTGTATAATATACGAATTATAAGAATGAAAATATTAAAATAATAAATAAAGTTGTGATAGCAGTCATTTAATTAATAATTAATTTATGTTCACATTTTAGAAAAATTTGAAGTTTAATTGTTTGATTGTAACGCAAAATATTAAATTGTAGAAGTTTTTATATTTATAGATTAATTAAATGATTATTTATTATTTAAACAATTAATTAATATACGAAACGTTTCGTATCATTATTTATTGCTTGAATATCACCGAGCAAATGATAGTAAAACTGTAATATATAAACAACGCACTACTGTTGCCAAAGTCATGATTTTATTGATAATTCGTTGTCGAAATATTTTATGTACTATAAAATACACACGCGTAGAATATGGAATTATAGAAGTATTTTAATTAATTGATTAAAATTGATTATTTATTAAACAATTTATTCATTATCCTTTATGCATAAAATATTTAAATATATTATTGTGAAGCAGTTTATGAAATATTATTATCTATGTAAAAGTGTTAAATAATATAAGAATATTTTATTATAGATATTTTAAGTATATTAAAATAAAATAATCCAGAATATTTTATATATATGTTATACTAATATAATTTAAAAACTTAAATAATTTAGATAATTTACAATGAGAGAGAGAGAGAGGGAGAGGGAGAGGGAGAGAGAGAGGGAGAGGGAAAGAGAGAGAATCGTTATTGAGAAAACATGCAATATATAATATGATCTGAATATAAATGACATATATATATAATCTGAATATAAATGATAAATATGAATGATAAATAATTTATAAACTGTTTACCGGACAATGTTGCTTAGTACGTGGCCCAGTGCTTTTTAGACTTGCTTTTCCTCTTCTTCGCTATTTTTTCGTTGCTCTCACTTTCACTCTTGAAAACAAGATTAATTAAGATTAGTTAATTAATATTAGTATACGCAAAAATCGCGAGACATTTTGCACGGCATTCCCGATCGCGTAGTAATTACAATTAAAAGTTTAGCAAGTACTAATTATAATTATCATAGCGAATTATGTATATTTTAATATTAGTCATAATTGTGTTTTATCGTTAGAGAAAAAATTTAATATTATACGAAGTATTTCGCACCTTACTCTTCGAATGTTGCCGTGTGAATGATATCAAGACCGTACCGTATGTAAACACAGCGCGTCATACGCCGCCAAGACCGACCGTGTTATTATCCATTCACTGCTGATATATTTTACGTACTTTAACATATACACGAAATGTTAAAGTGTCTAAAAGTTTTAGGTTACATGGATTAATTAAATAATATTTGTTAATTTGTTAAATGTTAAAGTGTCTAAAAGTTTTAAGTTACATGGATTAATTAAATAATATTTGTTAATTTGATGTATCGCAAATCTTTTTATTATGTTAATTATTTCGATTTATGATTCGATTGTTTTGCTGTGCGTTTTGATTCTAAATTAAATAATTAAATTTTAAATAATTGAAAAATAGAACGAGATAAAGCGTGACGGGAATTATATTTTATTCTATAAATATTATTCTATAAATATTATTAAAGTAATAATTGTTCATAAACAATATGGACCACAAATGTTTATCAAAATATCTTCGTGTATCATCATTTGTGTGATAATAATTATGTCGCGCGTATCTATTAATAGTTTTGATTATCATATTATAAAAATTACGTATATTTCTCGTAATCGAATATTCCTATTATTATCGATTTATTTATTCGCGTTTTTTCGCGAATTTTAAATCGCGATTTATTTTGTAATTTAATTGTTGATTTACATTGAAGCTTATTTTATTTTTTCGTATTTTGAATATTTCCTTTGATAATCTACACAAAATGCTCTAGTAATGCAAATATTTTCTTCTACAATCGAAGAAATGATCAATAATTTTATTAATGACTCTTTTAATCACGGTTATATATATTTACGTTACATAAAACTTATTAAATTTTATTATCGCATATCGATTATTAATGATAAATGTTGCATAATTAATCATCGCTAATCGGGCTTGTCTGGACTATATCAAAATTTTTAGTAAATTTTATATTATACGTATATTTTAGAGACATTTTCGTGTATTAAATTATTCCATGTAATAAATAAAAATTATTTTGTATTAAGTTTCAAATTATATTATTAATTAAAAAAGCATTGGTCGAAATATTATATTTATATTAATATTTAATTCTAATATTATTAAAGAAATATTATAATAAGCATCGATGATCATAATATATCTAATTCTCTTGTCCCCTTTCATGTATCTCCTGTTTTAATTTTTATTCAGTAATGAATGATTACGATTCGATAAATATTTATCGTTGCGATACAGTTTCATGTCGTTTATCAAAAGTTAATTAATTTTTAATTATTAATATTTTTAGCAAATTATGTTTCGATACTTGTCGTAATTGTGTTTAGTACAAAAATTACAATATACGAAGCGTTTCTCATCACTACTTTATTACTCGAGAGTCACCGTGCGAATGATGACAAAGCTGTAATATATCGCGCTTGCTATACGTCGCCAAGGTCAAAACATGATAATTCTCTGCCGAAATATTTTACGTACTATATATACACACGGAATTTTAAATTATAGAAATATATTTTATTTTAAATTAATTATTAAATGATTAATGTATTACGGAACCTTTTGTTATGCTAATGATTTGAATTTATTCGATTGTTTTACCGCGCTTATCAGAAGTCAAATTTTATAATATTTAGTTTTGCATTTTTTAAGATTGACTTAGAGCGAGCTAAATAAATAAATGATGTTAAGAGAAGAAAAAGAAGACACATAAATAAATAAATAAGTAATAGCGTGAAAAGAGAAAACATACTAATATTTTTATATAATAAATTATTATTAATTAAATTAAATACTATTTATATGTTTATTTATATTATTTATATTATCAAAGAGACCTGATGTTATCCTCTGAGAACATTCGTGGACATTGGCTTTGCAGTTCATGTCCACGTTTTTAATGTCCACAGAGGGAGTATCGCTTCCAGGGATCATTCAAAAGCGCGCCATGACATCTCTCAGTCTTCTCTCTGTTAATATTATACGTTTATTGAGTTAAATGAAAGAACTATTTTCATTATTGGTTTTAAATAATATTAATTTTGTGAATTTATATCGACATTTGAATCTTTTTCAGACCTAACTTTAGTTTCATGATGAACCTTAAAGGCCCTAAGAGCCCTGACACACAAAAATAAGCAGTAAGAAAATCAATAAATCGGAATTTTTACGTTTTTTTACGTTTTAATATGAGTGCTCAATCATGATTGGTCGATTTTCTTATTGCTTACATCTTAAGATCACAAAAAACGTAAACAGTGAACATAGTCAGTAAGGAAATCGATCAATCACGATTGAGCAGTAAGGCAGCCATATTAAAACGTAAGAAAATAAGAATTCCGATTGATTGATTTCCTTAAGGTGCAATTTCACGTGCTGCTAAAATAAGCAATTAAAGCGACAAATTTATCGCACGTATTCCAACGGCTATAATTTTGTAGTTTGAACTGATTCAACTACAAAGAGAGAAAAAGTGTCGCTCAATTGCTATGTAAAACATTACTGCGCTGTGCTACCCTTTTCAGGTACAAAAATTTCCGCTGTAATAATTCAGGGACAAAAATTGTCATGTGATCATTTTTGTCGCTCAAACAATCGGTTTCAGCGGTTCATGAAAAAGCACCTTTATTGACTACATTTCATGGCTCTTAGGGCCCTGGCACACAAAAATAAGTAAGCAGTAAAACGTAGTCAGTAAGAAAATCGACCAATCGGAATTCTTAAGCCGGGTCTACAATGGCCATAGCATAAGGTTGTAAGCGAAATGAACCAAATCTATTTCCTACGGATTTCGTGCGTTCTATGGCGGTCACGCGGAATCACGGAAGAATTCTGCGTTCTTAATTCTGATTGCACGTCCGCCGTAGAACATACATAGTAGCTGTAGGAAATGGATTTGGTTCATTTCGCTTACAACTTTACAACCTTATGCTATGGCCATTGTAAACCCGGCTTTACGTTTTCTTACGTTTTAATATGACTGCCTTACTACTCAATTATGATTGGTCAATTTGCTTACTGATTACGTTTCATTGCTTACGTTTTTTTGTGTGCCATGGCCTTTACTGCTAACGTATTTTTGTGTGCCAGGGTCCTGCAGCTAATGGCAGAGAACTAGACGTGAACACTTATGTCTATCGTAGTCGTGGATGTAAAGAAAGGCAAAGAAAAACGTATATGCAAGTCTGTGCAAGTTGTACAAGGCCATTGTGTGATTGCGGAAAGTGCATCGAACGATGTAAGTAATATTAATATAAATACATTAAATTACATATTTTTGAATATTTTATAAGTAAATATACTATTATTGTTATCGAGAAAAATGGTAAATACCGATGCGAACTCGGTGAAACGCATATTCCCTTCGTCTTTTGCCAACCGTAGGTTGGCAGCAGTCGGGAGTAAAAATTAAATAAAAATAACTTTATTTAAAATGATTTGTCTTCATTTTGTTTATGGAAAAAATAATTGTCAAAATAAATAAATGTTATTTTAGGTTAGCCAATATTTTTCTTTGCTATTTCAAAATACATTGGTGAAGAAAATTTTCTTAACAAATTTTTTAAATTAATTTTTTTAACAAATTTTCTTTCTATTTTTTAAAATTTGTATCTAATTCTTAATTTGTTTCTTTAACAGAAAATTTATCTTTTTTACAACCGTTACTAAGAGTAATATAAAAGAATGTCTGATCATTTAAATTACTGCAATACTATTGCTAATTTGTCAGATAAAATCAGTACAGACTGCAATAATGGTTGTGAATCTGCATCTATTGATATTGAAGAAAAGAGTGGCGATGAGCTTCTCATTGAATTATATAGAGAACGTCCATTTTTATATGATAAAAATAATACCAGTTTTAAGGATTGCTTGATGAAACAAAATGCTTGGATTGAAATATCCAAAATAATGACTCAAATTAATGGTGAGAAATAAATTTTATTTATATATGATAAATCATATAATTAATAAAATAATAATGCTAATATATACACAAATATATATACAGGGTGTCCCAGTTATCTTCCGTCATCTTTCAAAGACAGATTCCTGGGATTATCTGAAGACGATTTTTCCTCAACGAAAATGTCGAGAAGAAGAAGAAGAAGACTAATAATTTTTGAATTATAAGTGATTGGAAATAAGGAGTTTTTCGTAAACTAAGTTTTGTAGAAATAAAATATTAACAAAACCACATTCTATGATTAATTTTAAATAGACTTAATTGCAAAGATATATGATGACAAAAATCGGGAACATGCAAAAAATGATGGCTTTCATTGACATTTTCGCTGAGGAAAAATCGTCTTCAAATGATCCCAGGAATCTGTCTTTGAAAGATGACGGAAGATAAGTGGGACATCCTGTATATATATAAATTTTTTTAATTTGATACTTTCTGTTTAGGTGACATATACACTCCTTCATATTGTCAAAAAAGATGCATCTCATTAAGGGATCAATACAGCAGAGAGAAAAGAAAAGCTGAAACTGAATTGAAAAATGGAAGTGCTGCTGCTAAATCTACTCGATTTACTTTTTTTTCACAATTAGCATTTTTAGATCATGTCATTAAAAGACGAAGGTAAAATAATTTATTAGATTAATTCGATTAATTCTTTAAATATATTTACACATAACATATGTTTTATTTCCAGACGCTACACTAATTGTGCAAAATTTCATTCAAGTATTATAGTTGATGAAGATAGTACCTATGAATCACAAAGTGCTACCAATGAATCAAGCAATGAAGAAAATGAAAATGTATATAAGCAGCACGTTCATAATATTAAAAATGTTAAGAAAGAAAATGAACTACCAAAGCTGAAAAAACGAAAAGTGAATGAAACAAGGGAATTAGAACAAACATTAGTGCAAATGAATCATAGAATTTCAAATTATATGGAAACAAAGGTTTCAACAGCCGATGATGCTTTCATGGAATTTATAAAAGTGCAGTTTAAGAATATTCCAGAACAGGAAAAAAATATAAGAAGAAAAATGATTATGGATGTTCTGACTCTACCATTAGAAAAGTAATGCTTCTTTTGTTTAAAGAAATTTTTTATTCTATAGTACAATATAAACACACAGATTCTTTTCTTTCTTTCTGTGATAAGTTTGATCTCAAAGATTAAATTAGATAAAATTTAATCTACCAAAATAATTCCTAGTTTGTAAAAAATCATATAAAAATTTGTATATGTTATTTTTGTATTATATTATAATATACAGGATGTATCTGAAATGATACATTAAACTTTAGGAGCGTCTATTCTAGAGGTCAAAATAAGATTTTTTTTCTTATGAACATGGGTCCGCAAATGAACCCTCCTCCAAGCTAAAATTCGAAAATGTGTGAAATTGACCAAACACCCGCAACGCAAATTTATTTATCTCTCAAGAGAGGATGATAGGTAACGTCAAAATCTTTTTTTCTTTTTCTGAAATACAGCCAATTTTTAATTTTTTTCCCTAAACTTTAGGTGCCTCCAGTTCGGAGGGAGGTTCATTTGCGGACTTATGTTCATATGAACATTTATTCTTCTTTTTTATCCAGAAATACGCTCCTAATGACCTCCCGCGGAATCCTTATGGAAAATGATTTCGGTCAAATGTTTTGAAACTTTGCAAAAAGATAGTTCTCAACATGTACATTAAAAGTGTCCATGGGCATGAAGCTCTAAAAATTCGAGATTTTCAGCTACAGCCATCCAAAGTGGTAGATTTTTGAAGGAGTTTGAACCAATAAGGTTGACTTTTGGACCAGAACTTCGCACTTTTTTGCATATTTATATAGTTGCGGTCGAGAGCTTTCCAAAACATCCTATGAAAAGCTTTTTACGTTGGGGAAAGTGAAAGTTATAAGTCCCTCCAAGTTTAAGAAATATAGGCATGTAGGAAGCATGAGAATTATCGAGACTATCTGATTTTTTGTGTTAAGTAGACTTCCTTAATTGTGTGTGTGTGTGTGTGTGTGTTATTTTATCCTCCTCTTTTTAAGTACAATCTTGGAACTGTTAATGGCAGAATTACTTTTTTTGTTTTTTTTTTTTGCTTTTTTGTTTTTCTTGTTTTTTTTTTGTTTTTTTTGTCCAATCAATTAAGACAAGACTATGGGGTATCTTTTTTTGTAAAACCTCACCCAACTAAGATAAGCTACCGTTGCCGAACTTCGGAATATGCTGCACAAATTCAAAAATCTACTACTTTGGATGGTTGTAGCTAAAAATCTCGAATTTTTAGAGCTTTATGTCCATCGACACTTTTAATCTACATGTTGAGAACTATCTTTTTGCAAAGTTTCGAAACATTTGACCGAAAGCCATTTTCCATAAGGATTCCGCGAGGTCCTTTTTAACACATACTTTTGACTCAGCCTGTATATATATATATATATATATATATATATATATATATATATATAAAATGTAAATAGTTTGATAAGAAGAAGTTTTGTAATATTGTTTGTATATATTTTTTGCATTTGATGTTATAAGTAACGTTTAATATAATAGAATATTTGTAATGCATCTATAATTCATATAATAAATTTATATTAATTTTACAATAATTTTATTTCACAGACTCCATCAAAAAGATTGCAAATGCAATACTCTTTTCAAGAAATTGCTAATAAACACGTTTTCACATTAAATAATCAATCCATGTAAATAATTATTATAATATATAAAAAAGAAATATATTCATATTGATCATGTTCAAATTATACGTTTTGTATGTTAGTAGCGTGAGAGAAACTCAATATATACTATAGTTTTAACAAATGTAAATTGTAAATAAAAAGAATCTATATATTTCGTTTTTTTATTTTACTCTTTTATATTATATATAAACTTTTATTTTAAATAGATAATTTCTTAATTATGTTATACAATCTAAAATAAATATATTACATATATATCTAGTAATATAATATGAGCAGTAGTACATATATGCTACTGCCAATAATACTAATACTATAGTGCCATATGTATTATATATGTATATTAGTATTATTGGCAGTAGCATATATGTATAGTATTATTGACATATATATATATTTATATTTATTTATTTATTTATTTATCTACATCTACACCTTTTCGAACATAATCATGCTGCCATTCTATTTCTCCAACTTCAAAGACAAAATAATATATAATTACAATCAATTTTAATTCAGTTTATAACATTTTTTTCTAATTAAATACTTGTTGGCTATTCCACTGTTAAAAGTTGCATTAAGAAACGCAACGACTTAAATAAACACATTTCTAAAAAGAGAATATTCAATATTTTTGCAATTATTTTATTATTATTTTGTTTCCTTAAGTTAGAAAAAATGAACAATTGAAAATTACCGAAAATTTTGCTGACACTTTATTGTTATCGCGAATGCGCGACAAATCCTTGGTATGTACATTTCAACACTGTTGGATTGCATTCGAAAACTTATTTGAAGAAGAGCAGCGATTGATTGTTCAGATTAGAATAAAAGGAGCAAAGATTTCTCTGTTCTGGATCAATGAAACGTTATATATATATACTATTATATACAATATTATACTATTCGATAAGAAAATTATATATTATATACTATTATATATTATACTATTCGACGAGAAAATTTTTAAAAACAACTTCGAGGAACATCGCGAAAATAACTAAAGCATGGTCATCGATGAAAATGTGTAATTAAAGTTTAAAAGAAATCAACTTTTCCAAAACATATTTGAAAAATAGGCTATATTTTAATCGCATCATTTCTTTATAGAAAATTACGATTCTAATTTGGAAATATATGAGAGATATTCGATCATCATACGTATAATATTTATTATTACAGCATTTCGTTTAATATTAGATTTAAATAATCAGCGTATTTCTTAAATTTAATCAACAACGAGCAATAGCTAAAATCTTTTGAAGGTCATTCAGGATCGTGATCTTGATAACATATGTTCTTAGAAGTTAAATTTAATATCAAGATTAATTGAAAGTTGTTTCGAACAAGCTGTCTAAAGATAATATTCACTTTTACGAAAAAGTGCTTAAAAAGTGTCTTAATTTTTGAGTCGCCAAAAATCCTTCTTGTATACTTCTTTTATACCTAAAATGAATCTTACAAAATTTGACTTAAATCGGAGCATGATCGTTTTCAGAAGAACAGCTTATTTTTATAAATAAAAGCTATTTAATGAAAACGAAATACAAGGACTAAACAAGTACATACATATTGAGTTCTATCGATGAGTAAGATATTCCTAATGTTATGTATAACCAAGATGATATTTACATGACATATGTATCTTCTATATTTACTATCAGGTATGCTGACAACGCCGTCAGTTTATCGTAGTTTGTTGAAGTGGTAAGATTGCGATTAAATGTTCAGGATTTCGATATTAAACTTGTGACTGTTTCAATTCATAGGGTAAGGCATTAAATAAATTTTCAATAAAATATCCCTCTAACCCTTTATCTTTGAATGTGCAAAAATGTGTGTAATAACAGAAAACGCTTTTATTTTATATATATATATATATATATATATATATATATATATATGAATGACACTTTAATTTAATTTTCAAAATTAATAACTTCTTTTATACTATTTTTAAATACTTCTTATCATTTGCATATATTGCAGCTAATGGAAATGAAGATATTTAGGCGTATATGATAGCATATTTTGATCATTTTGACATATAGAAAATGTAAAATTTAAGCTAAATTTATTTTTAATATTATAAAATTACTATATGTGTAATTAATTTTATATTATAGCTCTATAAAATTATCTAAAAACATATAATATTATCCGTGTTTTATTTTTTAAATACTTTTTAAAAAGAATATCTAGAATCCGTAGGATATATTAAATTGAGTATATAATGAATGAATGGAGAATAAACGATGAAAAAATTAATTCGAAATTTTTATTAATTCAGTTAATTTTATTCGAAAAGATGTGTTTTAAGAAATACTAATATAATTCTGTTTAGAATTTTGTCCGAATTTAATTTGCAATATTTGCTATTTAATTTCCGTTTTATGTTTGTTGTTCGTAAGTTTCTTTCTTTTTTTTTAAATTAATCGAATTTTTTTAGTGCCAATTCTCTTGCACATTTTTTCATATAAAAATCAATCGATTTCGGTAACCTTCATAAATTACTTATTTTTAATAAAGAAACGTTTTTACAGATATTCAAAAGAAATTTAACATGATATTCTTAAAACTATTATTAAGAAGTTTAATATATATTGCTGCAATCGCAATAGGGGATCCTACCGATGAAGTTTCGGAAAATACGAAGAGCTATCTATCAAATTACATTTCAAAAAACGTAATGCCAATACACTATAAAGTACAATTCAAATTTATTTCTGATTTTCTTTTCGGTGAATGCGAAATCATTATTTATATTATGAACGCAACACAACACATCGGTTTTCATATACCGTTTCCGATGAGTATAATCAGATCAGATTTAAAACAAATTAACAATAATGTCCCCTATGAAGCGAAACAAGAACTAGATTCAATATATGATGACACGATTATGCTTCATTATGACGAAGTCTTATTACATGGCATATATATTCTGTATATACGATTTCATATTCCTATTGAATACGTAACAGACACTTTCGCAACTCTGCACATAGGCAGATATGAAATAGTACATAGAAACACAGAAGAGTAAGTAAAGATATTGAATTATCAAAAATAAATGGTACATTTGTGTTTTTTTGTACATTCCTCTGCTCGTAATTGTCTAAAATTAGTCATTATCTAGCATGTTGTTAAAATGTGGCAGGTGGGTAATCATAACAGGTGCCCAGACAAAGCGACAGCAAATATTGCCATTTTGGAACAAACCAGATTTAAGAATTAGTTTCGACATTTCCATAATGCATGATCAGAGATACAAAGCTTTGTCAAATATGCCAATACGAGAATCTAAATTGATGGAGGATAATATGATGTTGACATATTTTTACAAGGCTTTTTTCACTATAGATGAAGTAGTATTAATGGAATCCAGTTTTCATAGGATTAACTTGAATAGCGCAACTAGCATGTGGTGCCGATCAAAATTGATACCGTATGTAAAATTTGCATTACATGTTGCTGAAAATGTTACTATATATTTAGAAAAGTATTGGAATAATTCAAAAAAAATTCTTGAGAGTACCCTTCTTTTCACCGAGAGAAAAGTGGATCATGTCGTAATCTCTGATTTAAAAGATGAAGTTAAGCAGACTTTAGGATTCGTTTTCTACAGGTAACATACATAATTATAAAAATAGATATATTATAATCAATTTATGTAAAAAATTATATTACTATCCAAAATTTTTCCTTCATTAACAATGGATAATGGTTTTTAGAGAAGCAGATATAATTTATGATGAAGAATTAGATCTTGTCGCTTCTAAAATGAGAATTGCACGCTTAATAGCACGTGAGATGATACAAAAATATATTGGCAATCTATTGAATCCATCTTATTGGTTTCATCAAAGGTTAAACGAAGGATTTATAATGTATCTTCAAGAATATATCATTGAGGAGGTTGTCTTACTAACTCTATGAATACACAATCAAAACAATTAACAGTTTAGCAATATAGACAAATTGTTAAATATTTGTGCAAATTTTTTTATTTCTTAAATATAAAAAATGATGACAATCCAGACTTTTAAATTTCTATAAATTTGATAAATAAAATTGAATAAGAAATAAATGTTCATTTATATATTGAATATATTAAAATTATATATTATGGAAAAATTTATATATAAACTGTATTTTTAACAATAGTACATAATAATATTATTTTATATATGTAAAGTTTTTTCTTTTTCATTAATTATAATCTTGATTGTATTGAATTGCTTTTAGGCTCTGCCAAATTCCCGGATGATGGATTTGTTTATAGTTCAAGTTCAACATGAATTACTCGATCTAAACTCATATATTGCTATAAACTTCGCTGTAGAATGTAATACCTATCCTGAAAATTATTACTCTTCTCTTTCTTTTCTCTTTCTCTCTTCTGTCAAAGGTATGTATATAATATTACGTAAAGTAAATAAATGAATAACCACAAACTTTTAAATGTTAATTTCATAAAAAGTGTGGTCATGTATAAGCAAATTTATTTGTAAAATATTTAATTTATTAATATGGTAAATATTTACATATGATCAATTTCCTCTGCAACTGTTCATGACCTTGATATATGTTATAAAGGCCAAGATTTTAGCCGTCATTCGTCATTTATTAAAAAGTTATTAACGAAAATATTTTAACATGAAGATATAAATCATATGTGATTTTTAAAGATTTTTTGGTTCATAATTTTGTTTTAACACAACAAGCTATAGCTAAAATCTTCTGAAGGTTATTCAGAAAGATGATCTTTATAACATATGTCAAAATCATTAATATTTGCAGGGGTTGATCATATGTATACATTTATTCTAAATATTTTGTATAATTTTATAATAAGTAATTTTTTTAAATTATAATTATACATGTATATATCTATCTACGGCTTCAAAAAACTTATGAAGCATAATAGAATAAAACATAAGACTTTTCAATAACTGCTTAAACAGAATATATATAAAACATAAAACTTTTATCAATTTCTTACATAATTGTGTAATATTATTTTACAATATTACACAATTACTTATTATTTTTACAAATATTTAATCATTCATTATTTATCTTAGTTATTAATCTGTTATAGGTCTGTTATTTTCAAAACTTGCAAATTACATATTTTTTCTTAAAAATAACTGTGTTTTCTTTACACCAATGGATTCCTCTCATTATTTTACACATAAAAGTATTAAGATAAAATAATCAAAAATGAATACCTTATTAGATATTTTATGGTTTTTGTAAAATTAAGAAATTATTTCAAGCCTTGTAACTCGAAAAGTCATCACTCAATGAAAAAATACTTTAATTTAGTGTTATTTGAGAAAAACTACAAGAAAATACAATAAAAAATAGAGGATTCTATTAAAAAAAACAAAGTTGAACTTTATATAACCTTAGCACGTTTACTCAATGTCAAACCAATAACACCATCTTATCCCTCTTCGAACTAAACAACTTATACAAATCATAAGACTCTCCAACAAGTGCTTAAACAGAATATATGTAAAACATAAAACTTTTATCAATTCCTTATATAATTGTGTAATTTATTATTTTTACAAATATTTAATCATTCATTATTTATCTGTTATTAATCTGTTATAGGCCTGTTATAAGTTTTTTTTCGTCGAAATGTATTTCATAATCTTTTATAACTTTAATTACTTAAATTCAATTACACAAATTTTATATTTAGTTTTAATTTCAGATTCATTTCATTGCGCATTGCAATAAAGATGTATTACATATACTACATTATTTTTTTCTTTCCAACATTACAGCATCCATTATATGGCGTATGTTAGAACGAACATTACCACCTAATATATTTTTCATGGGAATTAATAAATATTTGAACAATCAGTAAGTATAATATATTGCAATGTAATAATATAGGAAAAGAAAATCGAAATATATGTGATAAGTTTAACAATACATTTCTTATTTAACGTTTATAGAACGTAGTTATGTAAAATTTTTCAAATTTACGCTATTCTTTCATATTTATGAATTTTTGTCGATTGAATTTCAGATTAAATTTTCCTTAATAAATATGATAGAGATTTTTAAATTCTAAATTATAAACAATTCAAATTGAATAATATTTTGAGAATCTAATTTTACATAAATATACTAATATAAATGAATCTTTGTAATATAAAAATTACAACTATTATTTATTTAATCTTGCGACAGATCCTCAAAGATTAATAAATAAGTAAATAAATAAATAAATAAATATATATATATATATATATATATATATATTATACATTATAAATATATACAAAGTGGTTCAAAAGTCTGGAAATGGCCAATTATTTCCAAAAATAGTAATCCTATGGGAAAATGTTTCAGACCAATGTTGTAAGATGTAAAATGATTTATTTACTGATCGTATCAGTTTGACTTTGGATGTAGTTATAACTCCTATAGGGATAGACATTTATGCACTTTAATATAATTCTGTATATACATTATAACTACATCCAAGACCAAATTGATAAGGTCAGGAAATAGATTATTTTAAACTCTTGTATATGTGTATATAAGTTACAAAGTTAAACTAAATATCTCGGAAAATATACGTTTACAGAAAAGTGTTTCCAACAAAAGTTGTAGGGTTTAAGAAGATCTATATACTGATTCTATCAGTTTGACCTTGGATGGCGTCGTCAAGGTCAGGTCAAGGTCACATTGACTTTTTTAAATGACACCCCCTACATTTGATTGCATATTCTTATAGCTTAATTCAAGAGCTTTCCAAAACACTATAATAATGTTCATTTTTATTAAGTACTTTGCGAGTTATGAGGGTTGAAATAATTTCTTAATTTTACATAAACCATAAAATATCTAGTAAACCATTCATTTTTCGATTATCTTACCTTCATACTTTTATGTACAAATTAATGAGAGGAATCAATTGGTGTAAAGAAAACACATAGTTGTTTCTAAGAAAAAATATGTAATTTGCAATTAACAATTCCATATTTTTTCTTAAAAACAACTGTATGTTTTCTTTACACCAATTGATTCCTTTCATTATTTTGTACATAAAAGTATGAAGGTAAGATAATCGAAAAATGAATGGTTTACTAGATATTTTATGATAAAATTAAAAATATTTAATATAACTCGAAAAAAAAAAAAAATTAATAGGAAATCTTAATTAACTAAAAATATCAACAAATGATTATAAAAAACAATGTATACTACTACACACCAAGGTAAATGATAGAATAGTATATGATTTTTATAATTTTTTAAAATTTTTGTATATTTTAGTATTTATTTATTTTGTAATGTATATACATATACAACAAAAGTTGTTGTATGTGTGTATATATATACATATACAACAAAAATTGTAGGATTTAAAATTGTACAATTAATTTTATATATACATATATATATATATATATATATATATATATATATGTATATAATTATATTAAAGTTTTTAAAAAAATTTCTCTATAAAAGTACATTATCTTATAAATTAAAATATGAAACTAAATTATATAAATTATGATTTTTCTTTTTCATTATGCGCTGGTCAATTTTATATAGTATTAAAATTGCCATAATGTTAAATCTTATCTTAGATTCAATGACCGTAAAGCAACAACTTCCGATCATTTGTGGAACGCTATGCAATCTATGATGATTGAATTAGATTTCAACTATAAGCTTAAAAGCATAATGGATTCGTGGGCTATGCAAAGAAGATTTCCCATATTGGACGTGATGCGAGATTATTCTAGAAATGTTGTAATTATATCGGTACAATTTAACAACACATTGGATGAGGAGCAATATTATATACCTGTTACTTATACTACGGAGTCGAACCTTAATTTTATTATAACTTGTACAAATATTTGGTTAACACCATCGGATTCAAAAATTGAATTCTTTCTTGAGAAAAATCAATGGATTATTTTCAACTTACAACAAGCAGGTAAATATTGGATGATAAATTCATGTTTTCAGTATATATATATATATATATATATATATATATATATATATATACTGAAATATATATTTTATAATATCAAATATGTTTTTAGGCAAACGTTATTTGATTTTGTATAGATTTCCTTACACATACAAATTTCTAAAAGTCTTATTCAGTATCATATTTATTATCATATATCATATGTAATATAAGTTTAAAAAGTATATTAAAAATTACACGCGCACGCGCGTGTGTGTGTGTGTGTACAAAGTGGGCAAAATAAATTATTACGAGCAGGGATGGCACTACGGTCTCGCTCCAGGTCTGAATAACAATCAATCGGGAGGAGGGGGGAGGGGTAGGATTTGATTTAAAAAAAAAATTTTTTTTACTGGTTTAATTCATGCAAGAAAAGTTTAAATAAATAACCATGGTTCAAAGAAAATGACAATATATTAATTTATCTTTTATAACACAGCAAATGTATGCATTCTAATGTTATGCTTCTTTATAAATTTATTTAATACCTCTTCAGTATCTATATCAGTCATCTCATGATAAATATTTAACATTGAAATGTCATTTAACCGATCTTGAAACATTGTGGATCTTAGGTAGTTTTTTAATCTTCTAAGTGTCGAAAATGACCGCTCGTTCGTATATGAAGATACCGGTATGGTCATTAAAAGTTTGACCAATTTTGTTGGAGGAAAATTGATAGAACTTTTGATGCGCGCAATAAAAGAGAGAGAGGAAACGAGCGCCTCTATTCTCGCTCTCTTTCTAGATGTTGGCTTCACTCAATTAGACGGCAGAACAAAGGGGATTCGGAGTCCATGTATACTATGTCCATGGATAAAGTAGAATTAAAAAAAAGTAGAATTAAAAAAAATTATCCGTTTATGATTGTCAGGTCTGGATTTCCATACCTACTCATAAGTGAGGTCTGGATTTATCCAGACCATTCCTAGCGGTAGTGCCGCCCCTGATTACGAGTTTTTATTTCCAAATATATTGTTTTCAGAGAAAAATGTTTCAAATAAAAATTGTAGTATTTCAAAGAGGATATAAGTTGATATAGGACCGTTTGTAGGTGACGATTTTCAAGCTTATTTTGAGGTCAATTTTCTTTTTTTGAATGGAAATGGGTATTTTTTATATTAGAATTTGAAAGAATTAAGATATCCATGTGTTTTGTAATGAAAGTGAGCAAAATTCGAACGTGCTGATCACACAAAATCCTTCACATTCTGGTTTTGAATTCGATTGAGAAAAGAACATATAACCTGGATTTTGTGATTTATACAGGGTGTATCTGAAATGATGCACTAAACTTTAAGAACATATTCTAGAGGTCAAAATAAGACCTTTTTTTTCTTATAAGAACTCATAAAAACTTTTTTTTCTTATGACCATGGGTTCGCAAATGAATTCTCCCTTCCGAGCTAAAATTCGAAAATGTGTGAAATTGACCAAACATCCACAACGCAAATTTATTTATCTCTCCAGAGAGAGTGACAGGTCAAAACCTTTTTTTTTTCTTTTTCTGAAATACAGCCAATTTTTAATTTTTTTCCAAATTTTAGGGGGCTCTAGCTTGGAAGGGGAGTTCATTTGCGGTCCCATGTTCATAGGAAAAAATAGGCTTATTTTAACCTCTAGAATATGCTCCGAAAGTTTAGTGCATCATTTTAGATACATCCTGTATAGATTAAGTATTAAGTTAATATTTTTGTGAGATCAGCACTTTCGCGTTTTGTTCAGTTCCATTACAAAATACAAGGATATCTTCTAAATTGATTTTAAGAAAAATTTTCAAGACTTTTTTTACAAAATTAAATGGTCGTTCAAATACTGATATAAAAAATACCCATTTCCATTTAAGAAAAGAAAGTTAACCTCGAAAGCTTGAAAACCGTTACTTACAAACGCCCCTGTATCAATTATCCTCCATTATATCCCCTTTGAAATACTGTAATTTTTGTTTGAAACATTTTTCTCTAAAAATATTTAATATTGTTGGAAATAAAAATTCGCTTTATTTTGTTCTATGTATATTCTACATATATTTAAGATAAAATCGCGCAAAATGCATATTTAAACATCTTTTTCAATATAAACCAATTTAAAAAATCTAATAATTAATGAATGTAATTTGTTTTATAACAGGATACTATCGCGTTTATTATGATACCGAGAATTGGCGAAAAATTGCGCGATACTTAAATTCTGAAGAATATGAGAATATACATGTTCTCAATCGAGCACAAATCATCGATGACGCATTTCATTTTGCAATAGAGAAAAAACTTGACTTTTCCATATTTTGGGAACTCGCTAATTATTTATCAAGAGAAAAAGAATATATAGTATGGTATCCTATGATCAAAGCATTTGAATTTTTGTCGCATTTCATTCCATTATTAGAATTTTATCCTGACTTTAAGGTAAGGCTTTAGGTAAGGTAGACAATTATTGATATTTTAAATTTATTAAGCCAATTTATGATTTAATACAATAATTTTGTAAGAGATAATTCTTTAAAAAATAGATATATGAAGTATGATCTTAAAGAAATATTTTAATTATATATTATTACTTATCTTTGTTTTTTATATATCAAAGGTCAAAAATTTAATTTCGAATGTTTATGTATATTTTCTTTTTAAATGTAATAATCACTCTCACATTTTATAAATTTTGAATTTTTCCTATTACTATTTTCTTCTAATATTAAGACCTCAGAATTTATATTACAAGTCACAATGGTATAATTTTCTTATTCAAGTTTAGAATATCATAGAATACACAGTAACAATTATCTTTATTATATTAATTTTCTTGAGGAATAGAATGTTTACAGCGAATAAAAATTTGCAAACATTTTGCAGAGAGAAACTGACTTATAATTTTATAATAATTTTATTACATTGTATATAGCTCATAATAATCCATTTATAAATATTTGTTTAAAAAAGTTGATGTTTTACTGATTTGAAATATTAAAAATCGATGTAACAGATTTAAAATGAGAAAATAATTGATCATATAAATTCATCGATCAATATATAAATAAATCTAGTATTAAGTATACAAGTCCAAATTTGATTGCGAGTCACTAGTCATTGTTTCAAGTGCAACGTGATGTATCATTAATATAATTACACCGAAATCGTCTATTTTCGAGAACAATTAGATGTACATATTTAAGGATACATTGTATGTATAATCTCAGCAAAAAGTAGCTGGAAATTAATATTGACGAATATATCCACTTTATATTTTGAGTATGAGAAATTGCGTGGAATATTACAATTTGATCATAGCTACAGTGCAGAGATTATTATTTATTGTGTTTTTACTGAAATATCCCAAATTTTGTTAATCGAAATGATTAACTTTTGGCAGAGAATTTCGCCTTGTGACAGATAGATACATGAGTAACTTCATTGAATTATATTTAATATCTTTTTAATCAGTTAGTACTTGTATAATATTATTTGACCAAATATTTCCTCCGTATCTAAACTACACTTTTGCAAATTTTAAACAAAATTCTGAATAAGAACATTATTTCATGTGTTTTTGTCATTTGAATCGTCGTGGTTATACGTTTCCCATAAAAGAAACATGTTAATTCGGTGCAAATTATCCTTATAACTTGTGAACGCTTTAGTGAATCGATTTAAAAATTGTACTGAAGATTCTAAACATATGTAAAGAATTCTGTACAATTTTCATTAAATTCTCAATATTTTGAAAATAGGTATGAAACATTCTTAAATCATTTATATGTCTACTCAATGATAAAAGGAAATACAAAAAAGTTTTTATTTCTGAAACTATTATTTTTCTTCTTATTATTGAACTTGTATCACATAACATTTGAATCACTCATATAAACTGATATATATATCGTATATTAAGAATGTAGATCCATTTAGATACAAAATATGCATAGAATTAGTTAAATAAAAGATCGACTAATTTGTTATTATAATAGTTACCACTATATAACATCATAAACTTATTAAAATTAAAAATTCTAGTATACATATACATTTACACATACATTATATTTGTACTTGTAAATAATGTGAAATAATTGAATTAAAAAAAAATATTAAATTTTTATCAAATTTTAGGAAAAGTTAAAGTTTGAATTTTTGGAACGGAATATTCAATTCTTGCCTTGGAATCTATATACAAATAGCGGCAATGATCATACTAAATGTTTAAAGCAAGAACTCGCAAAGTGGAAATGTATTATAACAAATAATACTGTGTATACAAAATGGGCTACAAATAATTTGGAATGGCATCTATTAAATCGTAAAGAAAATAAGTAATACTTTTTACAATAATACAACAATTCTTTTTACTTGATATGTAATACTTTTGTATTATTTTTATATTATGCAATTAATAAATTATTTTTCATATCTATCAGAAATAATATTTAAATCAAACACTAAAGAAACTATTAACATAATTTTGTTAAACAATCTCTACTTCTTTCCTATCTTCTGTAGACTTTTGCCTGGATGGAAGAGTTGGATATATTGTAATGGATTGAAAATGGCAGATCGTAATATATGGGAGAAAATTCTTCAGAATTACATAAAAACTGATCATATAATTTTGGAATGCTTGGCTTGCGTTAAAGATCCTGAAATTATAATCAATTATTTAGAAATAAAATTACCACAAATTTTGTATTATTATCCTTATCACTTTAAACTGATACAGCAAGATTTTAACTTAAATGCTAATATTTTTCTTTTTACTCTTGCGAGGAATATTAAGTATATGCTTAAAGATTTATTAAATAATTTCAAAAAAATAAAACACAGGTAATGATATTATTTAATAAAAATGGACTACACAAAGACGTGAAAATTTATTGAATTAATTATAAATGTATTGTTTTGTTTTCAGGGAAGTCAATGATATTGTGACTTTAATTGTTATGATTAACAATGTGTATTCCAAGGATCAGTTGGACGAGGTAAATTAATAATGAATCAAATTTCTGTACTTATTTATTAAGTTTTTATTATAAAATTTACTTTTTATTATAATATAATTATGATATTTTTTGTATAATTTTTCTAATTCTGTTTATAAAGATATTCTGCATAATAGTGCGATATTAATCTATTTTAGATAAGCAATTTTGTAAAACATGAAATTGAAGCATCAATTCCAATTTTGAACATAAGAAGCATTATTCCCGATGTTGAACACAAAATAGAAACACGCTGGTTGGAAATTAAGAAGCAGATAGAACATTTTCAATTTTTGTACTTCGATTAAAAAACTGAAGATCTATAACGCATCGAAGAAATTAATTATGCAGCATGAATGTGTTTAAGACTCGTTACACTAACATTATTTTGGCCTTAAGCGAAACTTAAATATATATCTATCTTTGTATTAATTAATTTTATATACTACTACTAGATATGCATTAAACATTTAAGATATGTAGGGAGAAAATTTAGTATTTTTACGACTTATTAATACTATTTCAATTTTTAATTCTAGCTGAGAGTGAAAGAAAAATAAATAATCATGTTTTTTTCATTTGAATGAAGTTTTTATTAATATATATAGGTTTACAATATAATAAAAGTGTGGCTGTTCTTCCGAAAAGTATCATGCTCCGATTTGAGTCCAATTTTGTAAATAAATTCCTTTTAGGTATAAAAGAAGTATACAAGATGGATTTTCGTACGAATTCTTTGCGACTCAAAAATTAAGGAACTTTTTAAGCCCTTTTTCGTAAAAGTGAATACTTTTAGACAGCTTGTTCGAAATGACTTTGCTATATACATATTGTCATGATCATATCATATTCTCTCAAACATTAGAAGCAATTAATTTTTATTTAACTCACCAAAACAAAGCTTATTATATTATTTTTATACTGCTTATTATATTATTTTTATACTGCGTTTATCATTTTAATCGCCATAATAAAAAAAATTCAGACTTTGTAATCCGCAGTTGAATATTCCGGAATTAGAAATAATATTAGATATCACTGATATCCTTGGGAATAATATTTATATATGAGGTAACTATAAGATTAAAATCCCCGTAAGATTAAAATTCCGCTCATTACTAATTTCTCGAGCATGTAAAAAATGTTAATATATGACTTCCACGTATTCTGATGTTATTTATGAATCCTAGTCCTGAATACATATACATGTAAAATCAGATATGTGAAAAGTTCGGAAACTTCACTTATTTCCGTATGTTTTATTATCTAACATGTACGTCGATTTAAAAGAGATTGCATACAAGAAAAAGAAACAAGTAATCAAATAACCTTTTTAAGCATTGCAATGAAATTTAATAATAAAAATTGTTATTTCATTAATAAATCTAGTGACACTATGGAATTTTTGATATTTTCATTTTAAAATCTTGTAGATTATTTTTGTTTACTTTCTAATAAATCTTCGAACTTTGAAATATAATTACAATCAATAATATTAACTCCCCACACTCTATTATAAAAATTTTTTCTCACTAAATACTTATTGTTAGTCGTTTCACTGATAAACTTTGCATTAAAATTGCAAAAAATTCGACAAATTAAATAAACACATTCTTTCTTAAGAAAGGGAGTATTTTATATTTTCGCAATTACTTTATATATTATTTTGTTTTCATGAGCTAGAAGGAAAAAATAAACAATTGAAAATTACCGAAAATTTTGCTGACACTTTATTGTTGGCGCGAATGCGCGAAAAATCCAGTTGTACACTGCAACACTGTTGGATTGCATTTGAAAATTTATTTGAAGCAGAATAGCGTTTGATCGTCCAAATCGAATAAAAGGAGCAGGATTTTTCTATCGTCGGATCAACGAAACGTTATTCTATTCGAAAATAAAAAGATTCTTAAAAGTAACTTTGAGGAACACCGCGAAAATAGTTAAAGCATGGTCATCAATGAGAATGTATAATTAAAGTTTGAAGGAAATCGACTTTATCAAAACATATTTAAAAGATACGCTATATTTTAATCTCATCATTTCTTTATAGAAAATTGCGATTCTAATTCGGAAATATATGAGAGATATTCCATCCTCATACGTATAGTATTTCATATTATATATTATAGTATTTCATTCAATATTAGGTTTATATAACAGGTTTATATTTCTTTAATATACTATAATAAATTGATTTATAATCAATACTTTATCTATCGATTAATAATAATTGTATATTGTCATGATAACGAATGGCATCCTCAATCTCTCCGTAGCCAATTAATTTAAAACTAACTATATGTGGAAGAAAAGATTTTCAGCCACAACAGTCAAACGATCAAAATCAATATATTAACTTGAGTAAAACTTAATGCAGTAAACAGGAAATATAACGTAAAATATTTGAAATGATATGATATAGGCAACTCTCTCTCTTCTATTTATTTTACAGTAAATTCTTAAAAAGAGATAATTCTTTATGAAAAAATTGTAATATAAAACATAAAATATATATATATTATATATATATATATATATATATATATATATAGACAGAGATGGAGAGAGAGAGAGAGAGGAAGGGAGGGAGGGGGAGAGAGAGAGAGAGAGAGTGAAAATACAACTCCTCATTTTTGGTAAATGCTTCTCTAGATAAATTATTTTTATAAATAAGAACACTATTTAATGAAAAAGGAATACAAGGATTAAACAAGTATATACTTATTGACTTCTATCGATGAGTAAGATACCTCTAACTGTTATGTATAACCAAGGTGATATTTACATAACATTCATATCTTGCATATTTACCATCATATGCCGACAACGCCGTCAGTTTATGATAGTTTGTTGAAGTGATAAGATCGTGATTGAATGTTAAGGATTTCGGTATTAAACTTGTGGCTGTTTCAATTTATAGGGTAAGGCATTAAATAAATATTCAATAAAATATCCCTCTAATAAAATGTCCCCTTTTCTTTGAATGTGCAAAAATGTGCGTAATAACTGACAACGGTTTTATTTTATTAAACGACATTTTTCTTATTCATTATATTGTTTAATACACTATACTGTTTAATACACTATATTTCATCTTTTTCTTAAATTAACCGAATTTTCTTGATGCCAATTCTCTTGCACATTTTTTCACATAAAAATCAATCGATTTGCATAATCTTCTATTTAATAAATCATTTTTTTTTGTTTTTTTTTTTTTTTTTTTTTTTTTTTTTTTTTTTTTTTTTTTTTTTTTTTTTTTTTAATATTATAGAATAATCGTTTATTACAAACAGTTTCAAAAGAAATTTAACAGATATTCTTAAAACTACTATTAAGAAGTTTAATATACATTGCTGCAATCGCAATAGCGACTCCTGTCGATGAAGTTTCGGAAAATACGAGAAGCTATCTATCAAATTACATTTTATCAGAAAACGTAATGCCAATATACTATAAAATACAATTCAAATTTACTTCTGAGCTTCTTTTCGGCGAATGCGGAATCATTATTTATATTATGGATGCAACACAACACATCGGTTTTCATATACCGTATTCGATGAGTATAATCAGATCAGATTTAAAACAAATTAACAGTGTCCCCTTCAAAGCGAAACAAGATCAAGTTTCAACAGATGATGACAAGATTATTATGCTTCATTTTGACAAAGTCTTATTACATGGCATATATATTCTGTATATACGATTTCATATTCCTATTGAATTCATAATAGATACTTTCGCAACTCTGCACATAGGCAGATATGGAAACGTACACAATAGGACAGAAGAGTAAGTAGAGGTATTGAAATATTAAAAATAAATGGTACATTTGTGCTTTTTGTACATTCCTCTGCTCGCAATTGTTTAAAATTAGTCATTATCTAGCATGTCGTTAAAATGTGACAGGTGGGTAATCATAACAGGTGCCCAGACAAAAGAACAGAAAATATTGCCATTTTGGAACAAACCAGAATTAAAAATTTGTTTCGACATTTCCATAATGCATCATCAAAGATACAAAGTTTTGTCAAATATGCCGATACGAGAATCTAAATTGATGGAAGATGATATGATGTTGACATCTTTTTACAAATCAATTTCCACTATAGATAGTTTAGTATTAATGGAATCCAGTTTTCATAGGATTACCAACTTAAATAACGCAACTAGCATGTGGTGCAGATCGAAATTAATACCACATGTAAAATTTGCACTACATGTTGCTGAAAATATTACTATATACTTAGAAAAATATTGGATTAATTTCAAAAAAATTCTTGAATGGGACCTTCTTTTTACTGAGAGAAAAGTGGATCATGTCGCAATCCCTGATTTAAAAGATGAAGTTAAGCAGACTTTAGGATTCGTTTTCTACAGGTAATATACATAATTATAAAAATAGATATATTATAATCAATTTATGTAAAAAATTATATTACTATCCAAAATTTTTCTTTCATTAATAATGGGTAATGGGTTTTAGAGAAGCAGATATAATTTATAATGAAGATCTAGATCATGTTGTTCGCAAAATGAGAATTGCACGCTTAATAGCACGTGAGATGATACAAAAATATATTGGCAATCTGTTAAATCCATCTTATTGGTTTCATCAAAGGTTAAACGAAGGATTTATAATGTATTTTCAAGAATATATCATTGAGAAGGTAGTCTTACTAACTCTACGAATATACAATCAAAACAATTAACAGTTTAGCCATGTAGACAATTAATAAATATTTGTTGCAAATCTTTTTATTTATTAAATATAAAAAATTACAATTCTGTCTTTTAAATTTCTATAAATTTGGTAAATGAATTTAATAAAAAATAAATATTTGCTTATATATTAAAATTTTTATGGAAAAATTTACATACAAATTACGTACAATTTACATACAAACTGTATTTTTAACATTAGTACATAATAACTATTTTATATATGTACCAAAAGCGTTTTCTTTTTCATTAATTATAACCTTGATTGTATTGAATTGCTTTTAGGCTCTGCCAAATTCCCGAATGACGGATTTGTTTATAGTTCAAGTTCAACATGAAATACTCGATCTAAACTCATATATTGTTATAAATTTTGCTGTACAATGTAATTCCTATCATGAACATTATTACTCTTCTCTTTGTTTTCTCTTTCTCTTTCCTGTCAAAGGTATGTATATAATATTACATAAAATAAATAATTGAATAACCATAAATTTCTAAATGTTAAAAAATGAGGTCATGTATAAATAAATTTATTGTAAAATATTTAATTTATTATGGTAAATATATGATCAACCTCCGCAACTGTTTATAACCTGAATATACATCTGGATGTTTCATCTTAATCGCCACAGGCAAATATTTTGGAAAAATATGAAAGATACGGAAAAATGTTTCGGACAAAAGTTGTTTGGTTCGAATGGGGACATAAGATAGTGTCATTGGTTTGATCTTGAGTGAACGCGCCAAGGTCATATAAAGTTCAACTTTGTTTTTTCGTATGAAGTTCAACTTTGTTTTTTTAAATGGAATCCTTTATTTTTTATTGCATATTCTTACCTCCGAGAACTTTTCAAAACTTGCAAATTACATATTTTTTCTTAAAAACAACTGTGTTTTCTTTACACCAATGGATTCCTCTCATTATTTTACACATAAAAGTATTAAGATAAAATAATCAAAAATGAATACTTTATTAGATATTTTATGGTTTTTGTAAAATTAAGAAATTATTTCAAGCCTTGTAACTCGAAAAGTCATCACTCAATGAAAAAATACTTTATTTTAGTGTTTTGAGAGAAACTACAAGAATATACAATAAAAATAGAAGATTCCATTTAAAAAAACAAAGTTGAACTCTATATAACCTTAGCACGTTTACTCAATGTCAAACCAATGACACCATCTTATGTCCCTCTTCGAACTAAACAACTTATATAAATCATAAGACTCTCCAACAAGTGCTTAAACAGAATATATGTAAAACATAAAACTTTTATCAATTCCTTATATAATTGTGTAACTTATTATTTTTACAAATATTTAATCATTCATTATTTATTTGTTATTAATCTGTTATAGGTCTGTTATAAGTTTTTTTTCGTCAAAATGTATTTCATAATCTTTCATAACTTTAGTTACTTAAATTCAATTACACAAATTTTATATTTAGTTTTAATTTCAGATTCATTTCATTGCGCATTGCAATAAAGATGTATTACATATACTACATTATTTTTTTCTTTCCAACATTACAGCATCCATTATATGGCGTATGTTAGAACGAACATTACCACCTGATATATTTTTCATGGGAATTAATAAATATTTGAACAATCAGTAAGTATAATATATTGCAATGTAATAATATAGGAAAAGAAAATCGAAATATATGTGATAAGTTTAACAATACATTTCTTATTTAATGTTTAAAGAACGTAGTTATGTAAAATTTCTCAAATTTACGCTATTATTTCATATTTATAAATTTTTGTCGATTGAATTTCAACTTAAATTTTCCTTAATAAATATGATAGAGATTTTTAAATTCTAAATTATAAACAATTCAAATTGAATAGTATTTTGAGAATCTAATTTTACATAAATATACTAATATAAATGAATCTTTGTAATATAAAAATTACAACTATTATTTATTTAATCTTGCGACAGATCCTCAAACATTAATAAGTAAGTAAATAAATAAATAAATATATATATATATACATATATATATATATATATATATATATATATATATATTATACGTTATAAATATATACAAAGTGATTCAAAAGTCTGGAAATGGCTAATTATTTTCAAAAATAATAATCCTATAAAATGTTTCGGACCAATGTTATAGGGTTTAAAATGATCTATTTACTGATCGTTTTAGTTTGACTTTGTAGTTATAACTCCTATAGGGATAGACATTTATGCACTTTGATATAATTCTGTATATACATAACTATTGTACATTTAAAACTATTGTACATCCAAGGCCAAACTGATAAGATCAATAAATAGATCATTTTAAACTTTACAACTTTTGTTGTGTGTGTGTGTGTGTGTGTGTGTGTGTGTGTGTGTGTGTGTGTATACAGGGTGTCCCACCTAGAAGTGGCCACCCTCTTTTATCTTTTAAACTAAAAGAGATAGACCATAACAAATATATATGAAATTAAATAGCTTTAACTGAGCTTTATTGTGAGTATAGTGGTTGATTACAAAATTTATCTGTATTAAAGAATGGAGAGATATGTATAATTTTTTTATATTAAATGTAGATATTTTGATATAATAAAAGTTGTAGCGCTGTTTAAAACGAATATAACGATGTATGATTTAATGTATGTTAATATTTTACATATTACGAGATTTTCCGGCTTGAAATATCGCGGACGACGTCCACCATTTTATTTTCGGCCTTGCGATATAGCCAACTTCTGACTGAGTATCATGATTAAATGACAACATGATATATGTAAACCTCTAATGCGCGAGTCAGAAGTTGGCTATATCGCAGGGCCGAAAATGAAATGGTGGACGTCGCCCGCAATATTTCAAGCCGGAAAATCTCGTATAATATGTAAAATATTTACATTAAATCATACATCGTTATATTCGTTTCAAACAGCGCTACAACTTTTATTATATCAAAATATCTACATTATTATAAAAAAATTATACATATCTCTCCGTTCTTTAATACAGATAAATTTTGTAATCAACCACTATACTCACAATAAAGTTCAGTTAAAGCCATTTAATTTCATATATATTTGTTATGGTCTATCTCTTTTAGTTTAAAAGATAAAAGGGATGGTCACTACTAGGTGGGACATCCTGTATATACATATACAACAAAAGTTGTAGAGTTTAAAATTGTATATTTAATTTTATATATATATATATATATATATATATATACATACATACATATATATATATATATATATACATACATATATATATATATATATATATATATATATGTATATATTAGATTAGTTTTTAAAAAAATTTCTCTATAAAAGTACATTATCTTACAAATTAAAATATGAAACTAAATTATATAAATTATGATTTTCTTTTTCATTATGCGCTGATCAATTTTATATAGTATTAAAATTGCCATAATGTTAAATCTTCTCTTAGATTCAATGACCGTGAAGCAACAACTTCCAATCATTTATGGAACGCTATGCAATCTACCAGGATTGAATTGGGTTTCAACTATACGCTTAATATAAAAAGCATAATGGATTCGTGGGCTATGCAGAGAGGGTTTCCCATATTGAACGTGATGCGAGATTATTCTAGAAATGTTGTAATTATATCGGTACAATTTAACAACACATTGGATGAAGAGCAATATTATATACCTGTTACTTATACTACGCAGTCGAACCCTAATTTTACTATAACTTTTACAAATAATTGGTTAACACCATCGGATTCAAAAATTAAATTCTTTCTTGAGAAAAATCAATGGATTATTTCCAACTTACAACAAGCAGGTAAATATTGGATGATGACTTTATGTTTTCAGTATATATATATATATATATATATATATATATATATGTATATATATTTTATAATTTAAATATTATATTTGTAGGCAAACCTATTATAATTGATATAATTTGATTTTGTATGAATTTTTTACACATACAAATTTCTAAAAATTATTCAGTATCATATTTATTATCATATATCATATAAAAATTACACACACACACACACACACACACACACACACACACACACCACACACACACACACACACACACACACACACATATGTATATATATACAAAGTATATATATATATATATATATATATATATATGTATATATATACAAAGTGGATAAAATAAATCATTACGAATTTTTATATCCAAATATGTTGTTTTCAACGAAAAATGTTTCAAACAAAAATTGCAGTATTTCAAAAGGGATATAAGTTGATATAGGATTTGTAGGTGCGGTTTTCAAACTCATTTTGAGGTCAATTTTCTTTTTTTAAGCGAAAATGGATATATTTTATATCAAAATTTGAAAAGCCACTTAATTTTATGTAAAAAAAAGTCTTTTGAAAATTTTTCTTAAAATCAATTTGGAAGATATCCGTGTTCTGTAATGGAACTGAACAAAACGCGAAAGTGCTGATCTCACTAAACATTAACTTAATCTATATAAATCACAAAATCCTCAAGTTATATGTTCTTCTCTTAATCAAATCAATCAAATGTTATTTTCTCAATCAAGGACCAGGATATAGAGGATTTTTTGCGATCAGCACGTTTGAATTTTGTTCACTTGCATTACAAAACACATGGATATTTTAATTATTGATTTTAAGAAAAAATGTTCAAGAAACATTTTTTACACAAAATTAAATGGTCGTTCAAATACTCATATAAAAAACCCATTTTCATTTAAGAAAAAAAAGTTAACCTCGAAAGCTTGAAAACCGTCACCTACAAATATTCCTGTATTAATTTATATCCCCTTTGAAATACTGCAATTTTTGTTTGAAAACTTTTTCTTTAAAAATATTTAATATTGTTAGAAATAAAAATTCGTAATGCTTTATTTTGTCTTATGTATATACATATATTTAAAATAAAATCGTGTAAAATGAAAACATATTTAAACATTTTTTCAGTCTATATAAACTAATTTAAAACATCTAATAATTAATGAATGTAATTTGTTTTATAACAGGATACTATCGCGTTTATTATGATACCGAGAATTGGCGAAAAATTGCCCGATACTTAAATTCTGAAGAATATAAAAATATACATGTTGTCAATCGAGCACAAATCATCAATGATGCATTTCATTTTGCGATAGAGAAAAAACTTGACTTTTCCATATTTTGGCAACTTGCTAATTATTTATCAAGGGAAAAAGATTACATAGCATGGTATCCTATGATCAAAACATTTGAATTTTTGTCGCATTTCATTCCATTATTAAAATTTTATCCTGAATTTAAGGTAAGGGTTTAGATAAGGTAGACAATTATTGATTTTTTAAATTTACTATTAATCCAATTATTTAATCCAATAATTTCATTTCGTAAGAGATAATTCTTTAAAAAATAGATATATGAAATATAATCTGAAAGAAATATTTTAATTATATATTATTACTTAGCTTTGTTTTTTATATATCAAAGGTCAGAAATATAATATATAAATAAAAGAAATATAATATATAAATGTTTATGTATACTTTTTTTTTAATGTAATAATCTCTCTCATAATTTATCAATTTTGAATTTTTCCTATTACTATTTTCTTCTAATATTAAGACTTCAGAATTTATATTACAACTCACAATGGTGTATAATTTTTATATTCAAGTTTAGGATATTATAGAATACACAATAACAATTATCTTTCTTATATTAATTTTCTTGCATAATAGAATATTTGCGGCGAATAAAATTTTTAAAAACATTTTACAGAGAGAAACTGACTTACAATAATTTTATAATCATTTTATTACATTGTATATAGTTCATAATAATCCATTTAGAATTATTTGTTTCAAAAAATTGATACTTCACAAATTTAAAATATTAAAAATCGATGTAACAGATTTAAATTAAGAAAATAATTGATCATATAAATTTATCGATCAATATATGAATGAGTAGTAAGTTGAGTGTTAGTATTAGTACTAATATTAAGTGATATAAGTAATATAAGTCTAAACTTAATTGCGAGTAACTAGTCATTGTTTCAGGTGCAACGCAATGAATCATTAATATAATTACACCAAAATCGTTTATTTTCGAGAACAATCGAATCTACATATTTAAATCATTTATATGTCTACTCAATAATAAAAGGAAATGCAAAAAAGTCTTTATTTCTCAAACTATTATTTTTCGTATAATTTTTTATATAACTTATATCACATTTGATTCACTCATATAAACTGAAAGATACATATTAAGAATGTAGATCCATTTAAATACAAAATATGTACAGAATTCAAATAAATGATCGACTAATTTGTTATTATAATTACCACTATATAAAACATCATAAACTTATTAAAATTAAAAATTCTAGTTTCTAAAAATAAATATACATTTACACATACATTATATTTGTACTTGTAAATAATATGAAACAATTGAATAAAAGAAATACTAAATTTTTATCAAATTTTAGGAAAAGTTAAAGTTTAAATTTTTGATACGGAATATTCAATTAACGGAGTGGAATTTATATGAAAATAGCGCCGATGATCATACTAAATGTTTAAAACAAGAACTCGCAAAGTGGAAATGTTTTATAGATGAAGTTTGGTGCAGAAAATGGACCATTCAGCAATTGGAATGGCACCTGTTAAATCCTAAAGAAAATAAGTAATTCTTTTTACAATACTTAATACGTGATATTTTTATATTTTTATATCATTATTTTTACATTATGCAAATAATAAATTATTTATCACATGTATTTATCATATGTGTTTATCAAAAATAATTTTCAAATCAAACATTAAAGAAATTATTAACATAATTTTATTTTTTTTTTAAATCTCTACTTCTTGCCTATTTTCTGTAGACTTTCGCCTGTATGGAAGAGATGGACATATTGTAACAGATTGAAAACGGCAGATCGTGTAACATGGGAGGAATTTTTTCAGCATTACATGAAAGAAACTGATGATATAATTTTCGAATGCCTGGCTTGCGTTGAAGATTCTGAACTTATAATTAATTATTTAGAAATAAAATTACCACAAATTTTGATAAATCCTAACCGTCCAAACGAGCAAGATTTTGCTAATATTTTTCTTTCTACTCTTGCGAGGAATACTAAGTATATGCTTAAAGATTTATTAAATAATTTCGAAAAAATAAAATACAGGTAATGATATTATTTAATAAAAATATACTACACAAAGACGTGAAAATTTATTGAATTAATTATAAATGTATTGTTTTGTTTTCATAGGGAAGTCAATGATATTGTGTCTTTAATTGTTATGATTAACAATGTGTATTCCAAGCATCAATTGGGCGAGGTAAATTAATAATGAATTCAATTTCTATACTTATTTGTTAAGTTTTTATTATAAAATTTACTTTTTATTATAATATAATTATGATATATTTTGTATAATTTTTCTAATTCTGTTTATAAAGATATTCTGCATGATAGTGCGATATTAATCTATTTTAGATAAGCAATTTTATAAAACATGAAATTGAAGCATCAATTCCAATTTTGGACATAAGAAGCATTATTCCCGATGTTGAACACAAAATAGAAATACGCTGGTTGGAAATTAAGAAGCAGATAGAATATTTTCAATTTTTGTACTTTAATTAAAAAACTGAAGATCTATAAGGTATCGATGAAGTTATTTATACAGCATGCACATTTGAGATAATATAAATTTAATGATATTAATTATCCGTATTTAAATATATATATTTAAATAACCTTCTACTATAATTTTTTATTAAATATTTAAAAAATTGTGGTTACAAATAAATATATTTAAATATATTTTATCAATTAATTTTGAATTACTTTCATTTTTGGTCTCTTTTAATAATTAATGTCGCGTAATTAATCTTCGCTAATCAATCTCGTCTGGACTATGTAAAAATTTTTAATAAATTTTATATTATACGTATATTTTGGACTTTCGTATATTTTGGATTTTTGTATAATAAATTATCCCATATAATAAATTATTCTATATTAAATTTCAAATTACATTTTATATTAAATTTGTACTATATATTTTGTTATAATTATTTTATAATTTGTATATAGCATAAAAATATTATACATAAAAATATATTAAGCATAAAAATATTATATTAAGCATAAAAATATTATGTTGGTATAAAAATTATAATAAAAATATATAAAAATAATGTTAGCTATATTAAAGTGAACATAAGAATTCTTTATATTTTATATAAAGAAAAAGACTTAAAATATTTTGCACCGTCTATATTTTTCGAGTTTTAATTATAAAAACTTCAGAAGAATCAGTGATTAATTTGACAAATTCTATACATTGTATTAATAATTAAATTTTTAAATAATTAAAAAAATGATTGATAAATAACAAAGATCAGTTTACTGCTAATTAAGAAGATTTATAAAAATACGGTTTTGTGTTTTGTAAATAAAAAGATATAAATATGACAATGAGTATAAAAAAATATTTATTTCATCTTTGAATATTACTGTATCTTTCGCAATTGAATAATTTATTTACTATCAATTTACATACATAAGTATCTAATTGTTATACAGCACTACTGGTGCTACCGGCATTTCGTGCACGTAACAAAACCAGAAATTGTGCACATTATATATTACTCTCTGAGAACATCCATGAACATTGGCTTTGTAGTTCATGTTCACGTTTTCAATGTCCATAGAGGGAGTATCGCTTTCAGGGATCACCTAAAAGCAGGCCATGATATCTCTCAGTCTTCTCTCTGGCTTCGTAATTCAAGTCCACGTTTTTATCTCTACAGAGGGCATATCGCTTTCATTGATCAAGCAAGCTTTCAGATTTCTCTCTGTACATACATACGAGTGGGTGAATTTTATTAGGAATGACAAATATGAATCGTTTGACCAATCAAGAGAGAGAAATATCTGCCTCTTTAGATCGGATCTACAACAGTAAGATATTAAACCGTAAATTATTGATCAATCACAGTTGAACGTAAGAAGAATAAGATGAATATGATTGATTAATTTCTTACTTAAAGCTTAACGCTTAAAGCTTACTACATTTATTGTAGATCCGGCCTTAATTCTGATTAGTCAATCAAAACGTTCTAAGATATTTAGGAAATCGAGGTATATACGAAAGGAAATAGCGGTATATACGAAAAACCGAAAATAATCTTTCAGAAATAGTGCGTTCGCGCAAAACATCACGTGATTGCACGCGTCGATAAGATTATAAATTGCAATATGGAATTGAATTTGCTGTAGATTCATGAGGTTAATTTCTCTGTTTGGTTTTTCGATATCGTGCACGCGTATTAAAATATCAACTGAATTAAAAGGAAAAAGTTAATTTCCGTGAAACGAAAATAACTTCGAAATCAAAAATCATTAATTTGGAAGAATAAATCTTTTAAATCTATAGTCTATATAATTATAAAAATCAATTGTTAAAAACTATCTTCTTGACAAATAAATAGATTCAATAATAAATTTAACAGTAAATCTTTAATAGTAAATTTAACAGTAAATCTTTAATAGATCTTTAATAGATCTCTAATAGGTAAACATCGTAAATCGTTAATTAATTTTAATAATAGATTTAATAATAGATTTTTCTTCAATTTCTGACTGTCTATTGTTATAATTAAAATAAATAAATAGAAAAAAAATATAAAAATATATAAAAGAAATGCAAAAATTTTTTTAATTATTTAATTCTGAAAATTAAAAATATATTAGTTTATAATAGTTTATAATTTATATTACTTTATAATAAACGAATTGTAGAAAACGAGAGAGAGAGAAAAATTCTTTTTATTCCATATTTTTCTATGATAAAAATGTCTAAGAATTGGTTCTTTACCGATGTCGGTTAAAAATTAGCTACGCTTAACTAACAATAAGATCTGTTCGATAATTATATATAAAGAGCTCTCGTGGTCATTACGGTGATCTAAAAGGCGGACAATCAGCTGAATTACAATTCAGAGTTAAACGACATTAATGAAATCCGCACTTACAATAGTATTACAACATCGTCTACCTCGCTCCATGTATATTACATAACATTTGTCTACTATGCAATTATCTTCGATAAACTAAATTCTACAATGCTCGAATTTCGCAAACTCGCGAGTTGCGATAAAAAGATTGGCGGGCATTCCTGTAGGAGAGTCAGAAGACAGGAGGAAAGAAGAGAGAGAGAGAGAGAGAGAGAGAGAGAATGAAATATAGTTCGAAAATGGGATTCGATCGAAATCTCGTGGAAACATCACAGCAAGTGGAACGAACGACAACAACGGGAAGGAAGCGGCAGGCGCGCGGGAAGCAGGAAGGAGCGGGTGAAATTAATTGACCCTTTGCTTCGCTTGTTTACAAAATATCCGGCCCCTAAGAGGGCTCGCGCGAACCGCCACGCCGTGTCGAGGCGGATGACTTGGGATGCGCGCGCATCTCGATGATACCGCGGTTCCCAGTGACGTACGAAGGGAACAGCGGTGCATTTGGTGCATGTGTCCTTACGTACAATTATTAAGTACACAGCAATTGGAAATTTAAATTAATTAAATTAATTAAAATAATTAAATTAAATTAATTAAAATAATTAAATTAATTAAATTAAATTAATTAAATTAAAATAACAAATTAAATTAATCTCGAGGCAAAGTTTCTCATATTTCTCACTGAAAATTATCCGAGAGTCCCGCTTTCTTTTTTCCTCAAAGCAACTCTTCCACGTTAAACATTTCTTACGTAGCGTAAGGCTCGATCTATTCGGATAAATTTGCATATATGCATAATGCGTCCAGATAACCGTGATTAATGATATTGATTAATCATGTCGCTGTCACGTGTTGCCAACAATTATATTATCAACATGACAGTTGATTACATGAAAGATCGATGGACTTTTCCGCGATAGGCTCTAGCATCCTCGCTCGCGAATCACGCCGACTCCGACTCCCGATCGCTCGGGGCGCCGACAACCTTGGCGCGGCCCTGACACGAGCGTGAACCGCCGCCACCGTTCGGTAAACGCACTACTACACGAAGGGAGCCTCGTAGTAGTATCTCGAGCGCCCTTAACCGCGGTTCACGCCGTGTCAAGGCGAGAAAGACGGAGCTAGTCGAGGCAGAGCCGGCAACAGACGCGTTCGACGCTTTTCTTGGACGGAACGTGGTGCCCGGGGTGGCCGCGGCGAGTCGAGCGTGACAGCAGCTCTGACAGCGGCCGGCCCTCGACGGCCGGCGGAGCCTGTCTCGCGCTCCTTCGGACGAGCGCACGGGGCGCACGAGCGAGGGGAGTCACACGACACGAGTCGCGAGACAGAGACGGAGGCGAGAGGCGGACGACGACGTAAGTCGGACGGTCGATCAGTCGGACGACACGGACGGTGGCTGCACTCGGCGAGTGCAGTAGCAGCGGAAGGCTCGGAAAGCAGCGCGGCCTACGAGCGATTCCCCCTGCGTGTCTGATGAGCTCCTCCGCCGCGCCGCTGCTGGTGGTAAGATGGCTGTGCAGCTGGACGGAGGAGGGAAGGAGGACCTGAAAACACAGTTCGTCACGCGGGAGGGTACCTACAAGCTGATGACCCTGTCGGAGTACTCGAGACCGAACCGGGTCGGCTACACCAACAGCCAGGGCAGCGCGTCCGTCAGGGTGTCCTTCGTCACGTTGCCGGACCCAGCGGATCCCACGGGCGCCCAGGGTCTCGGCGACCGAATGTGCTTCAACTTCGGCAAGGAGCTCTACGTTTACGTCTATCGCGGCGTCAAGAAGGTGAGTCGGTCAGGAGACGTCGTCCTGAGACGAGGGACCTAACCTCGAGAGTATCACCGGACTCCATCTTTGCGGTTGGCTCGTCACCACGCCTCGCGACGAGGACGTCGCGTCCTGACGAGCCTCGTAGACAGTCAACTTCGCGAGTCATGGTCGCGGTTTTTTTTTCTTTTTTTTTTTTTATTCGCGAACGAACGACGAGATGACGTCTTGACACGTCAAACACTCGAGCGACACTTCTTGGAAATGTCCCGAGTATCTTGTAATCGTACAGATAATGATTGCTGATAATATTAGCATGTTACCATAATTCTTAGTATTTAGATCATTAACTCACACATGTGTTAACGTAAAGATGGAAGATTAATAGGCGAGATTGGTTTGTTATGAAGATCTTCCTCGGGACTAAATTGTTATGTAGAGACGCAGCATTTGAATTTATTTCCTTATTTAAGTAAGAAAGTAATTTGTCACTCGTCAAGTAACTAGATATATGATAAAATGTGAAATTTTTCTATTGTCGCTGAAAAGTAAATTTTATTTTATTGCTGAGATTTAGTCCGAGATACTTAAAGTTTTAATACTCATCATTGGAATGTTTCAGGCTGTGGACTTGAACAAACCAGTAGATAAAAAATTATACAAAGGGACTAATCCAACTTGCCACAATTTTAATCAAACAACAGCGACAGCTGATAGTGCTCCATTATTGGTGGGATTTTCTACGGGGCAGATACAATTGATCGATCCGATAAAGAAGGAACTCAGCAAATTATACAATGAAGATGTACGTAGAAATAAATTTTGCATGAATCATAAATTTTTTTTATCAGACACTAGAGGAAAACTTCTCTCCTGTATTGCATTTATTAGCCAGAGAGAGAATTTTGATTTCCTGCATTATATCTACAATCTATCTTATATTGAGATAAATAATCTGATAGTTCCAACAAGAAATTCTTTATGTAACTAGTACATATATCGTTATATTTGCAGTGTGTACAAAAGCTGTCGACACTTATCCAATCTCTGTGATATGTGTACGTTATCTTATTGAAATATGATAAAATGAAAAATGAATACTAGTTCAGTCGTTAATTTCACCCATTATATCTCATAATGACAGTATTTAATATTTAATAGCACATTATCCGGGCTACTTTTTATTGGTAGAGCCATGCGCTAATTCAATTATAACTCAATCAAATAATTAAGCTCAACAAGCAACATTACATAATTTTCCGCTATCTTCTCATAACAGATGGCTTAGGTGGAACGGTTGTGCTGCCTATTTTAAATACGTTTTAATGTCAATAAATGTGTGATTCATTATTTTTGTTTGATCATTATATTTTATGAGATATATGTGTACACTTAATACTTGTCTTCTCTTGACCCTCTACCGCTCGCTGTTATTTTCTAGTTACATATTGGTTTACTGTATATCTTGAATACTATTATTTTCTTTTAATTTTTATTTTTAGTCATCAATTATTATAACTTTGAAATAATAACATAAAATGTTATTATCACTAAATTTTTTAATTTAATTTATTAATATTAACTTTATAATATGCTTTGTCTTGATACGGGAATACAATTTTCTATTCAATAAAGAATATTTATATTTCAGAGGCTGATAGACAAGAGCAAAGTGACATGCATAAAGTGGGTTCCTGGCTCGAACAATCTATTTCTGGTTTCTCACAGTTCTGGTCAACTGTATCTTTATAACGAAGAGCTGCTTTGTGGCACCACAGCGCCTCACTATCAATCATTCAAGTCAGGTGATGGATACGCCATATATACCTGCAAGACTAAATCCACCAGGAATCCGCTGTATCGGTGGGTGATAGGTGCGGAAGGTTGTTGTATAAATGAATTCGCCTTCAGCCCTTGCGGCACGAATCTAGCTGTGGTATCTCAAGATGGATTTCTGCGCGTTTTTCAATACAATACCATGGAGTTGGTCGGTTCGGCAAGAAGCTATTTTGGTGGCTTTTTGTGTGTGTGTTGGTCACCGGACGGACGTTACGTGGTGGTCGGTGGCGAGGACGATTTGGTGACCATTTGGAGCTTCCACGAGAAACGCGTCGTGGCGCGGGGACAGGGTCACCACAGTTGGGTGAGCGTGGTCGCCTTTGATCCGTATACCACGTCCTACGGCGATCACGATCCTGATTTTAGCGGCTCGGATGACGAGACGATGCCACACAGCAATCACAATCACTTCCACGAGAAGTCGCACCGTCTTTCTACGACCTCGCAAGGCGGCGGTGGCGGCCACTCGAATCGTAACTCCTGTGGCTCCGAATTGAGAATGTCGGGTGGCACATGCTACAGGCTAGGCAGTGTATCCCAAGACACTCAGCTGTGTCTATGGGACATCACGGAAGATGTATTGAGGCAACCTGTGTGCGCCAAGCAAAGATCCTCCGTAGCAGGTACTACCAGCGGTACCCTGTCGTCTTCGGGTACGTTTAATAGTGGTAACGGGACAGCGGCGACGGCGAATCATCACTCGAACTCGAATGCTAAACATAATAACTCGAATAACGTAAATTTCAAAGAGAACGCGAGTGGTAATAATGAAAATAGTAATAATAGCACGAGCACGAACGCCGCAGTGGCGACCGTGAATTCGTTGACGCAGAGGCTAGCGGGTCTTGGTTTTGGCGAGCGTAAAGGTGATAATCACAAGAGAAACTTTAGTCTCACTATGCGAGGCGGAGGCACCGGTGCGGCAGCGGCGACAACAGCGGCCAACAACAGCACGACAGTCGTGCAAAACAATGGTGGCGATAAGGCGAGCACTGGAAACTCAACGAATACGACGAATAGTAGTCTGAACAACAGTGTCGGTGGGGGTTTAGTAGGTGGAACGGGGAATAAAAAGGTTAGTTCCGTGATGGACGATCCCATGAGATTGATAGGGACCGCCTGGTGTCCCAGGTTCGACGAGTGCCCGGTCCTCGAGCCGCTGGTGTGTAAGAAGCTGGCGCACGAGAGGCTGACTGAATTAGTGTTTAGGGAAGATTGCTTCGTGACGGCGTGTCAGGACGGATACGTGTACACGTGGGCAAGACCCGGCCACATGGTAGGTCCTCTCACGATAAGCAGCACCCTGCACAGGCCATCACACCATCATAGCAACAACCCTTACACTAGTAATATCAATTCCATGCGATGTAACGACCTCTGATGTAACCCGTTATCTCCAAATCGTTATTTAGCAAGCCCATCAAGTAGAGTCTGTTAGTCTGAAAAGTTAGTCCGAATCCTGTGTACATATATATATATATATACATAGAGTTAGAATTTAGAGTGATGATCGTGATGAAAGTGGCACGGGAAAATCTTGTAATACTTTGGAAATCGTCTTCCTATCGCCTGTCGTGGTAGCGGGAGGAAGTCTCGAAGATGAACGATAGTTTTTGCTCGGAAGTATTAGAACAAAATACACATTAATGAATTCGGTATTATCTTGCCGGGTGTTTGATACGACGATCGCGTCGCTGTTATTTAAGTTTTATATACTATGATCAGTATATATATATTTTCAGTATATATATATTTAATCTTAGAAAGAGAGAGAAAAGAGAGAATCCTTATTCAGTCTGTTTAAGTCTACGACTTAAGATATACATTTGCGTTTGAGTTCTATTAGAGAGTATTGGGAGGTGCCATCAAAGAGAAAGCATTAAGAATTTTTTTAGTATTTTTCTTTAAGTTTATATTGTGTATATAGGTGGATTACAGAAGTACATGGACGGACGATACTATGAGTGAACAAAAACTTGTAGCCTAAAATATACTTGTTATTATTAGATCCTTTAGACAATTTTAGAGCGTCTTTTAGTATTATTATATATTTTTTCATATTTCTTTATAAAGTAATAAATATATCTTTCGGATAAGTTTACCTTTTATTCAGAATATTGTTTCCATTTGATTAGATAAATTCGCGATATTCTCAAATCAATTAACAAATCTACTACTTAAAATGCATGAAATTAGATATTTCAAATTAAGTAGTGTAGAACGCGCGCACACATACTATAATTTGTTTTCTTCTTTTCAGATATATTAATATATTTTTTTATTAATATTGCATTTTTGCGAAAGATACGAACAAGCTTAATTTATATATATATATATATATATATATATATATATATATATATATATTACAGGAGTAGACAAAATAATCTGAACACCTGAAAAATAAATACTAATATATTTGTTTATTAATAAGATATTGTGCCACCATTTGCTTTTAATATAGCTTCAATTCTCCTTAAAAATAAAATCATGCAATTTTTAAAATAGTCTCTAATAGAATATTGTCCCATTCTTCTATCAAATAATGCCATTTTTCAAGATGATAACGTATTCATAGCTAGAAAAGCTCAATCTTGATTTGAATAGCATCAAAATTAACTTCAACGTCTTCTCTGGCCAACACAATTACTTGATTTAAATATCATCAAATCACTATGGATAGTTTTGGAAAAGAAAATGAGAAGCAGATTTCCTCCTTCAACATCTCCGAAGCAATTGGCAAATATTTTGATAAAATAATGAGACAATATTCTACTGGAGACTATTCAAAAATTGCATGATTCTATTCCAAGGAGAATTGAAGCTTTTACAAAGGCAAATGGTGGCCCAATATCTTATTAATGAATAAATATAGTATTTATTTTTTAGGTGTTCACATTATTTTATCTACATCCTATATATATATATATATATATATATATATATATATATATATATATATATCCCATTTAGATATTATTAATCCTATTCTAATATGGCTAGTGCATGCGTTGCGAATAAAGAACAGTCACGTGTGCTTGAGGTTCATTCATAGTATAGGCTGTCGTAAATACCTGTGCCTAATGATGGTCTGGTCAAGATATATCCTCGCGATGATTATTGCAAAATTACGCGAGCTAGGATAGATATCGAATATCGATATATTTATGTTTTTGGTTTGCATCCTCGAGAGCAATGTTGTTTGAGCCTTATGAGGCCTTGTGACAGGGCAGGCCCCTTTATTGAAGAAAGCCTTCTTCCTATTTCCTGTAAAGTGTTGTTAGCTTAGCTTAGCCAAGTATAAAAAAATCAACGGACAATTACTTAGCCGAACACTGTCGTCTCAGATTAACGATACGAGATGCGAGAATCTTTTGTTGGAAACGATGAATTTTGCCTTGTTGTATAATAAAGCGAAAATTTGAATGAACGATCGCTGCTTGCTTTTCGCTTGTTGAAATTTTGTTCAATCAAGTGCAATGCAGAAGCTCCAGGGAGAAAAACAGTCGGAAAAACATACATATGTTCAGTATACATGCATATATGATACATGTAAGACGATGTCTATTCAGAGTTTGCCGTCTCGCATGTTTTCTTTTCTTTTTTTTTTTTTTTCATTATACTTTTGTCAATACTAGGTCCTGATACTAGGGCTCGAATAGTATTTCCTGGCGTTTTGCATACAGCATTTGTATCCCACACTCACCTTTTCATTCTACAGTTTTGACCAAAAGTAAGCTTCGTTAAATTGTGTTCAAGTGAACTAATATGCGAATTTTTATAAGTCAAATTTATGGCAAATATTTTATAATTCAATTATTAATTAATCTTCATTCCTATTAATTCACACGAGAGTTTGATAATACATTACAATCACATTGTTTTAATGAAAGCAGTCTTTTACGCTTTTGGCCAACGCTGTGAATGCCTAACTAATTGCGAAGTTTGCGACATAAAATTCATTCTAGCTTTTTTTATAGCGCGACTTATATGATTTCAAAAAAAAAATGGCGCGTCTTTTATAATTTTAAACGGACAATGCTTGCGCTTATTTCTCAAAGCCGACAAAGCCGATTAATTCCTTTTTCTCACTTTTGATTGATCGGAAAGATTAATGTTCTGTACCACGCTTTGGCTGATGCAAGAGAATATCGTGGATGAGACTTCCCTGAGTTATCGCATGGTACGTATGACTTATCATTTTCCGTTCTATTTTGCTTTTTTTTTTATCGCTTGATCGGACTTTGTCATTGAGTAGAATAGAATATACACGCTCGAGTCGTATTTACACACATTCTTATCGAGATATTACTCGACGACGCTTTCGAATTTTACACTATGAATTGCACTATATTTTTCTCGACGCACTTGCCAAATTTTCATTATCCCCGAAAAGTTTCCGAATTAAAATGAATATGCATAAATTATTTACAATATTTACAATACTATTTACGATATATGCATAAACTATTTACAATTTCGTTACAATTTTTCATTTACGAGAGATTTTGAAAATGTTAAAAATAGGTACGAATTTTTTATCTCTTACAATTTATAATTAAATTAAATTAATTGAATGAAATAATTGAATTAGAGAAATTCAACGATTGTCGAGGCAATGCTTGTGAATTTATATTTTCAAAATATTCAAAATTATTTGTGAAAATATAAATTCACAAGCATTATTTTGACAATCGTTGATTTTTTTAAATTCAGTTATTTAATCAATTTATTTAATTTAATTATTAAATTGTTTAATTTTTAAACTATTATTTATTTTAATTCAATTATTAAACTATTACTTATTTCAATTCAATTTATTAAATTCAATTATAAATTGATTTTTTAATTCAATTATTTATCTAATTTATTTAATTCGTTATAAAATTGGCACATGTAGAAGGAAAAAATAAGTCTAATTTATAGAATAATAACTAGCAATATTTAATGTGAAAGCTTTTCGGGAATGATGTGCGTTCACACACGTACGTGATCGGCTCAGAAGCGCGTTAATGTCAGCGAAAGGCTCACACTGTCTTTAATTTCAGCCGGGGATCGGCCAGGTCGGCGGCGCCGCTCTCCACGTGGTTAGTCCGGCGGAAGGCGGCGGTACCATAGTATAGCCAGAACCGGACATCGACGTCGGTCCACCGCTGGGTCATCAGGAGGAACCGCAGAGCTCGTCGCGGGCGACCGAGGCGCAATTTCAGCAGGCGTATGTACGCCGACGTCATTTGTACTACGTGTGGCCGAGCGAGAGTTATTCCGATACGATTTAAGTGAGCGATTGCTCGGCCAGGAAGTGGACGAATTAAAATGAAAACTCGAGGGGAATCCGTCTCTTTGAAACCGAACATCTCAGCTCTTGAAAATTAGGGATTGACCTTTAAATTCGCGAAATTTTAGTTTCGGTATATCAGCAATATTCTATAATAAAGCAAATATGCATCGATTGTGCAATAGAAACTCTAGGCCGATATTCATAGTCCGTTCTTGTATTTAAGATCATCTTAGGTAGGGTTTAAAAAATGTTATACATTAACTGAACAGAATCTTAAGTCTTTAGAATCTTGAGAATCTTAAGAATCCAAGATTAGACTTAAGGTGATTTTAAACGTAGGAATTATGAATATCGGCTTTAATCAACTGATCTTAATAGAGAATCTGCATTCCCGGTAGTTTTGTTGTCAAAACAATTTTTAACGATATTAAATCTATAACGCCCGGTTTAGAAAATCAAAAGAAACACAAGTTTACGGATTCTTATAAATTCTTTTTAATTCGCCTACATTTTACGGGCCGCAGCTTAACGTTTAAACACCCATACACATTCACACATACAGTGCTTTCGTTTTGGCAAGTCGATCTTCCGGTGCATATCATTTCTTCTTCCTCTTTCTTTCCTTTCTGTCGCGACGATGACAACGTTACGCGACCTCGCGCCTCTTTCTCCGCAAAAATCCGCGGGGTCAGGGAAGCAATCTGTGTATACATGTACATACATATACGTGTGTATATCTGATGATCGTGGCAGATGCGTTGTATCATTCCAAATAAGCGGTAAGCGTAGTATATGCATCTCAATTGGCGGGACACGTGAGTTCCTCGACGCTACCAAGAGCATTTTTCCGTGTATTTATTATGTGAAGCGTTGAAATTTATATAGACTTAAATCACAGAGAGCCAACTTTAGGACAGATCGAAAGGATAATCTAAGCTCTATATTCCACATAAAAATAACTCGTTCTAACTTGCTCATACGATGCTATGTATTGAACAATCGAACAACACGAACGTTTATAAAATATATTTAAAGAATACTCTCTCTAAACGTTTTAGATATTCTTTCACTTGGATGACCAGAAGTAGCTACGGAACATTCCTCAAATAGAATTATTTTGTTAAATGATTTTTAATTGAAAGTGTGACTTGGGTCTCTATCATTCTCAGTGCTTCATTTATCGGTTGATTATTTCGAAGGAAATATTCCGCAAGGCCGCGCGCGCGCGCGCGCGATATTAATTAGCTTTTAATTTAAACATAGAAATATACGTAGGAATTATATATTGTAATTAATAACGAAATACACGCAGCGTTAATTTATATCATTCTAGAGTACCTATTCCCGACTGCTTATTTCGATTGCTTATGTCGATTAGCTTTGATTACGAGCATTCCTGCGCAATTTCAGAGATTAAATATCTATCTGTTATCATATTTTCGGCCTTCGAATGGTCCTTTATTTTATGCCGGCACAGTAATTCGTTGCAGCACCGTTTACTCAAATTTTGCTTTGAAGACTCGATGCAAAAAACAGGCTGTAAATCAAGTTCATCATCAGAAGTTTTTATTCTCAATCGAAAAAAAACTCGTTATAATTAAACTTGAAAAACTGGAATCGCACACATGTATATTTACGGAATATAAAATAGATATAAAGAATATATTTGTTTAAACAAATAAGATATCATTTAGATTTTCCTAAGGTTTTCATTTGTTTCCAGTATTTACAGCTTTTTTTACGTCAAGGCTTCTTTAATGTTAAAAAACACCTCGCTACGTTTCGTAACATGCAACGTACGCACCGTCGCAGAAATTCTATCAAGGCACTGATATATTACACCGATAAGAGGACCGATTCTCGATAAGACTTTTTCGTTTCGATATTTTCGTTCTCGTACGACGGTGGATTATACCGTATTTCGAGGCACGACGACATGTATATTATTATTTTAGCAAATGCAAGCTCGTTAAAAGTATGCTGTGATATGTGTGCTATATGTGAGGACATTGACAAATGATGCAAGCGATGAAAGTCACTTCCAAGCACTCTGTCGTGCATCGAAAATGGACGATCGGACTTGTGACGATTACACATATAACTAATAACTGATTAGTTTCTTATTTATAGGCAACAATCGAAGCCGGCCTGCGACACCAGACTATAATTCATCTAACGATTCTGCAAGAAAAGGGACGGATGAATCTAAACGAATCGAAAGAGATTTTTTTTTTCCGTTCGTAATGATTATCTAATCTTCGCAGATTGAAATCTTTTAATTTCTTTTTATCTTTTTTCTATTCTCGTGTGACATACTTAAGCAATCGATATGCAATCTAAACTGAATCATGACGTATAAGTGGGAGAGAGAGAGAGAGAGAGAGAGAGAGAGAGTTTAATGTAATAATTTTAAGTGAAAAATCTATTTTCATTTCAAGTTTTTTTTTATTTCTTTTAATAAGAGAAATAAACATGGAAAATGATTCAACGATTTAATTTTTAATTTAGAAAAATAGGATTTTGCAAAGTAAATTTATGCCGATTCTTTTACATTCATCCTCTTTTGCGGAGAAGACCGCGATCTATAAAGTTCCTATTTCGTAAGTTAAAGGACGAGCTCGCGCCTGATTTTCCGGCCGATGATTGATTCCTGGTGGGAAAGCGTTCTCGATTCTTGCACAGGACGGATGAAAAGCTCGTCGATCAACGAGGCTAAATGGATTTTCAGATTGTATATGGTGGACTCGTGCATGATGAGTTATCATATATTTAAAATATAGATAAGAGGCTCGCGCGATTTTGTTTCTTTTTTTCAGACGTGAATTTCCTTCTAAAAATTTAATATTTTTAAGATGAAACGTATCATATTTAATTGATTTCAAATGTGATCAGCAAAACCGATTCGACAACATATACTATAATTTTTTTCGAAGCCGCAACGACGTTCTCGTCATTATATAACGAGCAGGAAATTTCTCTTCATCCGAGACGAATCGAGACGAAAATAAAACGGATAATTCCAATATTGTAAATCGCATTGTTCTATATTAAGTCACAGGTGACATTTTGCGAACAATTAAGTAATAAGTCTCTCAAACTGCTGTAACAGAAGATATGTAATTCCTTATTAGATAGTAAATTGCATGTGCAAAACAATCTTAGAAAAATATAATAATACGCATTTTTTTATAACGATATCTTGGCAAATAATCAACTATTAAAATATCAAAATATGTGTATCACTCTCCATTCGTGAAAATATTTTTTATTTAAATTGTGCTTATGCAAAAAAAAGAATTCTAAATAGCGTGGTAAAACTAATGTACTCTGATATACACAAATTACAATTGTCTTCTGTTAGAAGCACTTTGGGCAACGAAAAAATGCCTCTTTGATTTACTAGTTTGAACTCGGATCGACCAGTGTGGCTTTCTGCGGTTTGGAAGTAGAAGGACAGGTGTTCCTATATATTTTAGTGTCATATATGACACTTCCTTCGGCTTTCACGCCTACGAAACGATTTTTCGATCGGTCTAGAGTTTCGAGGTATATGAACGAATTATGTACAAACGACTTACATTGCATAACCGGTTTACGCATAATCGATTGTCTACAATTCCGCGTAAAAGCGGTAGATGCGTAATGTAAAAAGGAACAGAAGACGCGTCTCTCGATTAAGATTACGAGAACACGCTTAATTCGAATATATATATTATATATATATATATATATATATATATATATATATATATAAATAGTAGCGACTTGGTCCAGCTGATTATATACATCCTCACTCATCGATAAGTAACCGAGTCTAGCATCTCTCTGGCAGTTTTTTATGAGACCTTTCCACGGCAAAGAGCTTTATGCATCGCGTCAGATCTGTACTGTACTTTTCGGCGCATTTCTCTTTGTTTGTTTATAAGCGTGTACATTCTTTGTAATTGTAAATGAAAAAGACATTTCATTGTTAAAGCTTGCGTGTTTCTTACTCTGCATTCGATTACTTTCCCTCTTCCTAAAATTCTCTCTCTCAACGTGATTTTCTTGTAGAATCTTTTTAAAAATTCGAGATTAACAATGTTTATATAGGATTTCTTCTATTTTTTATTAAATTTAAATTTATTGTTAAACTCTAATACGTTAGAGAAAAGAGAAAATTGATTGATAGAAATTTATTTTCGTCCAAAAAATTGAAAAAAAGATAGTTTTACGTTAAAATTAAAATATTGTAATATATTTGTAGTGTATTTAAAAAATGTAAATAATATTACGTAATAATTATTTATGATTCTATAATCATAGCCAATTATGTCCGGAATGTGTGCACATGTTGACCTGTCAAAAAGCTGCAGTCTTTTTTTTTTTATATAAACTGTATGATATGTAGAAATTTTTCTGGTGATAATCTCGAAATGTCCGACTGTTTCCGCGCATATTTTAGTATATCGTGTAAAAATTCATTATGACGAAGAAGCTGCAGATAGTGCGAGTGGATAATGATTTAGTGCAAAAGGCGAATTTGCAGATCGGCAATAACATCATCGGTCGAGGCGCTGCAACAGGAGTGAGTTATATCATCTCTATGCATCGCGCATTCATCAGTTTATAAAAAAAACATTATGCAATATAATTGCATCAATTTTATCACGCAACAGATCTCAATTCTTTCATAATATTCTTGATCGATCAATTATACATAAGATATAATAATAATTGAATTTTAATGAATTCATCTGGTTTAAGATATAAAATATGATAAGATCTATCAAAGTTCTTCCTGCATTCGAATTTGAAATTAGAGAATAAACAGTATGTCAGAATTTTTTATTTGAAGACATTTAATTGCGATCGTCACAAAATGTCAACTCATTCACGGTTACGCTCTTTGATTTGACGTTTGCCTTATTGACCATTAATTATCACGAGATGCACGTGTGTATGCATCATCATTAGATTATATATTGGAGTAAATCTTGTACCATAAAAAAAAGCTAGACAGATATGTGTATTCTTGGATGGATCTCTATCTCTTTTTATACTTATCACTTGAGTTAAAAACATTATTCGTCCAATATTTAATGATAAAAAGCTGTACGAAGCTTTCAGGAAATATTTTGGTTCTATTGATTAACTCTTGAATAGTAAAAATGTGAAAAATGGTGAATTATTTATTTTCTTTTCAAAAATATTCATAAATATTCATAAAATACATACATATATGATCGATGTTTTTGACAATGATACTAAATAATATCAATTAATCAGCGAATTCTTGACAAAGATAGCGATCCATTCAATCTTTTTCTACAAATTGGATCATCCACTCTTGAAAACTCGCTCCAATATTTAATTAATAATTAAAGAACTCAATGTGCATCATATGCGCTGATAATCGACGTATTTGTTCCAATTTTTCAGCGTAGCTAACAATTTTTCTGGATATTTAAAAAATATATAGCTGGTAAAAAAAAAATTTCACCGTCTTCTAGTTGCTCTTCTAGGTTCATCTGATACGCATCTTCAATACCGTTTTATCGATGACAGTATTTGCGCGACGCAATTAATGTTTGGAAAGCGCTAAAGTCGTATCACAATTAAATTCGCAGTACGTCGATTTCTGTTTAATATTCGAACGCATACAAATTCAACTTCTAAATATTCATCAATCGATTATTTCATACAAATAGGGAAAATAGATTATTAGGAAAATGCAGAGGAATTTTGAATTAGAAAAACGCGAATGACAGACTATTGGAATAGATAACTTTTTTCATTGATAATCTTTCATGACGTATATCATCACTTAATGACATATATATATAGCACATTTCTTTATTTACTAAAGGATTAAATATTGCATATTTTTCGCCTAACAAATTCCTGTTGTTATTGCAGTGCAACGATGGCCAAGTACTTAAGCATGCTGTAACCATCAATCTGTCACCCAATGATGAGATGACAATTAGTCCGGTAAGATTTTGTGACTATCATCTATTATTTATTAGTATTTTAGTAATAGTTTTCATCATTAATTTCTACATGAATTTAATAACAAACAGTGTAACAACTATTTAATAATTTACGGTATAATAATTTTCATATGATGTAGAATTGTTTTACTGATTTATTTTATTTTTTGAAGTATAATATTGCTGTGTAATATCGAGTCAATATCATCTCAGTCTTCTATAGAGATCATTTTTCAGTATTAGGTGGTGCCATGTTATATGAAACAAGCTGGATGTACACGATGGCAATTTCTTAAATTGGGAAGCAGCGTGCCGATAAAACCAGGTGATGTCTGCTCTCTACTGCCTGATAAATGTTGGTTTAAGGTCATCTCAATGCCAGACACAATGGAAGAAAATGATCAAATATTGAAGAGAAAGGTATAATAATTATTGACTTTTGAAAAAGGAATTTTGCAAGATATTAAAACATTATATTTCAGGCTGATGAGAATTTGAGTAATGAAGTAAACAGTAAGAAAGCGTGCTTGTCATCCAATGTGGAGGTTATTATATCTCCCAATGAAACTTTGAACGATACACATAGTGATAAGAATCCATCAAATGAGCATCAGAATTCTTCCATTAATGAAAATAGCGAGCATAATGATGATAATGATGATAATGCTAGTCTAGTTTTGCAAGAAGTTAATTCTGCAAGGTATTATTTCAAAATTGAAATCAATTTCATAATAAAAACATAATTATTTACCATTTTCCCATGGATTTTAGCTCTTTAGAGAGAAGTAATATGCTTGCAACAAGTTCTAAAATTTCGACAGATACTAAAGAGATAATTGAACCTTGTGTGGCTCAACAAAATGATAAACAGAAAGCAAAAAACGTCAATTTAACAAGCGAAACTATAACAAACATTGAAGAAGGAAAGAAAATTAAATGGGATTGTGATACTCATTTCAGTGATCAAATTGAGAGTCAAGCTTCTTCAACACAAAATAATCCTGATTCGCCTGTTACTTTGCATCAGAATCAAGCTAATGGACCAAGTAATCAAGTAAATCCTGTTAGAGTTGCCAGAGAAAGATGTACGTATGGTGCTCGATGTTATCGGTAAGTGAATGTAATCCTATCTCTTGTCAAAATAATTTTCTCAAAGTACAATATAATCTGGATGTCAAAAGTATGAAGCATCTTTAATAAATTTGTTCGCAGGAAGAATCCCAACCACAGGAACAATTACAGCCATCCAGCCGATTCCGATTACGACGAGGTAGATGATCGGGAGGAGTGTCCGTACGGTATAAAGTGTTATCGTAAAAATCCTCAGCACAAGATGCAATTCAAACACACAAGGGTACCACGTCGTCGTCGAAGAGCCGCCACTCCAATGCACTCAGTAATCGTCGATACCACGTTCGAAACAGATCACTCATCCACAGAAGAGTCTGTCGACGAATCTGATTATGAACCCTCTATGTATACAGAAAGTTCGGACGATTTGGACGAAAGCAGAAGTGAGTGGGAAGACGGCACAACGGGTTGATGATAAGTGTTAATGGCCTTCTCCTGTTACCATCGATTTCTACGTCATATTTTTGAGAGCATTCAAATTATAGATGTTTCTATATATTGGTAATGCAAATATTTTATTAAGAAATATTTATTTTTATACTCGGATTGAAAGGAATATATTATGCATCTATTTGTTTAACATAAAGAAGAGTATAAAAATGTTAATAATATATCGCAATCAACGTGTGTATTTTTATATTGTGGGGAAAATGTATAATTTTATTAATCTGATGCAATTTTTGAAATAAAATTTTTCATCTAAATGTTCAACATAATTTTGTAATCACTGTGATATTGTTAATTAATTTTTAATTATATTACAATATTAAAGTAAACATTATGAATTAATTTATTTATGAATTAATTAATTAATTATTTCTATCTTGCATCAGATTAATAAGTCTGCAATAATTAAAAATAACACGTATTAAATATTTTCGCCTATTAGAACGCTTGATATCCTTCATCGTCTTCAGTGGCATATTCCTCAGCAGCCACAATAGCCACATCTGCTAGCATATGTTTTGGAATTTCTGATCCTCGCACTTTGATAGTATAACATGCATTCTCCATTTTGGTCAGGCTTTGTTTGAGCGTGAAGATTTTTTTATTCATTTCATTACTAAATGCTACGCTCGTATAGCCCAAGAAGGCCACATATATCTTTCTGACGAAGTTACATGTCTGATAGCAACTACTTATATCGCCTATCGCCAAGTTATTGATACACTTCCGCATCAATTCTCCAGTTAAGTCAGCTATTCCCAGGATATAATCCGTCGGCGTAACCATGACTTTTCTGGTGATACTCTGCTCTGTCGAATCGGTTGGAGTCGTGTGATATGTCAATGCACTTTCCAGTTTTGTACAGTCTTGCATTTCACCGTTTTGAAGGTATTCATGGAATGTGAGTGCTTCTACATATTCTTCTAGACCAGCGCGATAGGCTCTGTGGAACTGATAGGCGTCTTGACCATTCAATTCATTCGCGATATCTTTGAATAGTGTCCGGGCCATGTTATCTAATCTCGACTTGGCCGCGTCTAACACAACATTTCGTTTGCTTTCTTTGTCAATGGTGTGTAGCAAAAAAATTATTCTCTTGCTTTCGATGCCCACGTCTCGATTGATCTTGAAAATCCTCTCGTAACGATCGTGTTTAGCATCCAACTCGGCTGCGTAACCGCGAAACTGTTGCACTATGATATTGTTATCGTCTATGTTCTCCAATACTTCCTTGCCCTTGTCACCGAGATTGATTTTGTCTTTATCATGATGTCCACGATGTCTCCTTCCTCCTGAAAATCATAGTATTTTGATGAATAAAGTTGAGGTACATTTAAGAAATTAAATATAGTTGTAAATGTGTGTACAAAGAAATGTTGTTGCAACAAATACTAAAGAAAAATCAAGTCTCAAAAATATAAAGTACTGATATTCGATTACTGATATATAAATATTATTATGCTATAAATATTACTATCTATAACTATGTTATATAAAAGATAAATACTTTTCATAAAATTAATTATTTTTCAGAAAATGAGTTTTTAATACAACATTACTTAAATAACAGATATTTGTTCTGCTACTATAACAATAAAGTAATATGCATTAACATTTTTTGGAAGACTTGCAGTTTTAATCAATTACAAATAATATTTATATGATAAACAACCTTACTGTATATTTCAAATTTTAATAGTAATTTGAATTATATTGAATACATAAAAAATAAAATAGAAAATAGATTTTCTTCTTTCCTCTAAATTAATATTCAATCTTAATGTAATGATGCTAAACATTAGAATGAATAGAGATACATGAAAATATATAATATTTTTCTAATTTCGAGGCACAGATTAATTATTGTAATAATAATGTAAGAAAACTGTAAGATTCGGTGTAATAATAATATAACCTATTTTCTCTTTCAAACTCAAGAAAGAAAATTTAATTAAAATCTTAATTAATTTAAATTTAGACTTCTCTCAATCTTAAAATCCATTTGTCAAGATTTTGAAAAGTGGGTTGAGTTTATCATTAAATAAATTTGACAGTTGTCATGTCAAGCACATTCTCACGTAGGAAATTGATATTGTTTACAACAAACCGATTATGTAACATGGTACAAAATAAAATGATGTAATGTATCGATTAATTTACCTTTTCCGGACATTATGATTTCTCTTGGTAATTTCGATCAATTTGCTTGTTGACAGTGATACAGGGTACACGAGCTCACTTGCGGATCGTTGTTGGGCAACATGATGTTAGCAGACGACAGTTTGACAGTTTCAACGATCTTTGCTTTGTAACAATAGATGTCGCCACTATATTTGTTCGGTTAAAGTCACTAGATTAACAAAGTACCGCAATTTTGATCTCAATAAGATAAGATGGAGCAAAAATGTCAAGGTTCGTTCGAACGTGTGATGCGCGTAAACATAATACACGCATGTGTGTGCGCCAACAGCTCTTTTAAGAAAATACTCAGGACTGAAACAGTTTCACCAACTGGTCAATTGACGAGTTTTTTGTATCAGTGATTGGTAGAACTGTCTCATATATGAAATAGTTGAATTGAACTTTTTTGAAAAGTTTATTCGTCGTTGTCGCGATATTAACGTCCGGAATAAGTGGAATATATTCGTAAGTTATATACAATTTTATTATTAATAAATAGTTGATTGCACTCGAAATACGATACTCGATTATATGACAGGAATCAAAATTATAAATTATTACTTTGTTGCAATCTTTACGAGCAATGATTATTCTTCTATTTCTATTTCGTTTCTATCATAATATATATGTGTACACACACACACACACACATTTAGAATTCTAATATAATAAATAAATATTCTCTCTGATATCATTTGATCTAAATATAATTTGATTCAGAACGCGCAATAAAACAATCGAATAAAAATCGGATAATTAACATAACGGAAATATATATTTTTAAAGTTATATACAAGTGTATTTATATACAAGTATATCTTTAAAGACACACACACACACACACACACACACACACACACACACACACACACGCGTACACGTACACGTACACACGGATTAATTATTTATTAAACACACATCTTTAAAGTCACACACACACGTACACGTACACACGGATTAATAATTTATTAAACACACATCTTTAAAGTCACACACACACTCACACACACACGTACACGTACACACGGATTAATTATTTATTAAACGATTCATATATTTCGTGAAGTTATTTCCATTTTTATTTGCAATTATGATCTTTAATAAAGATTTCTCATCATAATAAAAAAATTTTATATTGTTTATCAAAAGTTTAAATTAGATTTAAAAGTATATTATTGCCTCTTTTCGATAATAATTGATTATTTCACTGTACTACCTATTTCGTGAATAGCTATCATTACAGAGATCGCGTAGAGTTTGACAATGCAATAAAATTAATAATAAAATTCCAATAAAATTAAATACAAATTAATTATAATAATTAAATATAAATTTATTTATAATTAACTTTTTCTACGTTGAGAAAAGTCTTCGTTTCTTTTGGAATATCTTAAAGATTCTTTTAATTAAATTTTACAAAATATATAACTATTAAATTTATAGTATTTAATATTTAGAAATAAATAGATAATATTTCATTTTTATATAGATTAAGTATACGATATTATTTATTAAAAGAACTAATATATCTTTTATGGATCTTTTTGTTAAGTTAATTATTTAGATCTACGATTCGATTGTTTTACTGCATTTCAATCCGAATTATATATTTAAATGATCGAAAAATAAAACGATAATAAAATAATAAGCAATATATATCTATTTTAAAAATAGTGTATATAAATAATAAATAATAAATAATTTTTATAAATTACTCATCGCATGTCTCTGGCTGCTTCAGGCTCTCTCCCTGCTTTCTGACTGTCCGATACTTTTCCAGATGTCCTTTTCTTTTGTTGTTTCATCCTTTGTTGTTTCCTCGTAGCAGTCACGTATTCACTCGCGAACAAACAATTATATTTCAGTTAATTATATTTCAGTCATATACAGAAACAATCGCGAGACACTTTGCACGGCACTCCCGATCGCAAAATAATCATAGGAGATACGTATTTTTATAATATTATTATTATTTTATTATTATTGCAAGAGAGGAAAAATTACAATAATTCGCTCGATTTTTAAACAAAGCCAAAATCATGCACCACTCGATTCTTACACTAATTAACTATTTCTATTTGTTGATGTATAATATATGGATAATAACGCGAATCATAAGATTAAAATATTAAAGTAATGTAAATTGATGATACAGCAATCGTTTAATTAATATGATATATATGCATGCAGTTTAGGAAAGTTTAAAACATCGGGCGAAATCGAATTTTATTCTATGCAATGTTAAAGAAATAATTATTATTCGTAAAGTTCGATAATTGGAGAATATTGCGAGAAAATTTGTAATTTTTGCCCCTTTCGCTTCAATTTTTATTTGCAATAATGAAAGATCGCGTTTCGATGAATTTATCGTCGCCACAATTTCATGTCATTTAATAATTAATTATTTGTCAATTGTAATAGTCGAATTATTATATTTCGATCTAATCGCGATCGTACTTTTAGGAAAAGAATTCGATAATACGGAGCGGTCCGTATCGCTACTTTCTCCGTTGGAATGCGCCGTGCGAATGAGGGGAGGTCGTCGCGTATGTAAACAATAGCGCGCTACGTCACAAGGTCGAATGACGTGTTAGCTCGCTACGTCACAAGGTCGCATGACGTGTTAGCTCGCTGCCGAAATATTTAACGCGTACTGTGAGAATTGTATTTATATACAAGTATATTTTTAAAGTCACACACACACACACACACACACACACACACACACACACACACACACACTCACGTACACTGAGAAAAAAAGTTGTTAACTCGACTAAATCGTTTAACTAAATTATTTTTTTTTTAATTGAAATATCGAAATATTGAAGTTAAATAAATGTCATGTTAGATTTATAATAGTTAAATATTCCAATTAAAAAGATAATAATTTAGTTAAATGGTTTAGTTAACAACTTTTTTTCTCAGTGTACACAGTTTAATTATTTATTAAACCTCACGAGATGTATTAATCGTTTAATAATATAAGTGTATTTATATCCAAGTATATTTTTAAAGTCTCACACACACACGTACATTGAGAAAAAAAAGTTTTTGTTAACTCAACTAAACCGTTTAACTAAATTATTATTTTTTAAATTAAAATATTGAAATATTTAAGTTAAATAAATGTCATGTTAGATTTATAGTTAAATATTCCAGTTAAAAAGATAATAATTTAGTTAAATGGTTTAGTTAAGTTAACAACATTTTTTCTTTTACAATTAGTCTTTTCTCTGTCTATTATTTGATTGTTTTATTACGCTTTTAGAAAGTAAAGTTCTATAATGTAACTTTTAATTTTGTATTTCATATGAAATTATTATTTTAAACATAATAATTTTCTCTCTTTGCATTCTATCATGAATAGACATTTCCAACCTTTACTAAAAAAACTAAAAATATCCCTCAATTTTTTCTCTCTTCGGACAATTTATTTACATTTATATATAATTCTCTTTATTCCTTTAAAAATGAACATCGAGAACAAGGTACACGAGTATTGTAAATGTCAAAAAATGATCGCGCGAATATTATAGTTGTGAATATATAAAAATAAATGCAATATACTATGAATTTTCTACGTTATATATTGAATCGAAATTGCACAAAAGAGAAAAAGAAGAACAAGCCTATGAATAGACATTTCCATTTTTTATTAAAAAAAAAAAAATTAAAAATATCTCTCAATTTTTTCTCTTCCTTCAGGCAAGTCTACATATATGACCAATATGATTAATTGATTCCATCTTTATATATTTATCATTATGTGCTATTAATTAAAGCCGTAAACAATATTTCAGAAATCAAAGTTGTGCGAACGTTGCGCGCAGGAATGGCCATGTGCAGAAACGAATGCGCAGTGGTTCGGCCGCCATGTTGGCGCGTGACTGCTACGTCATACGCGTCATACGGGAATCGGAGTCATACGCAGTTACACGGATCGTCGTACGTCCGCATTTTTCGCGTCTTTTAACCGTTTTTAAACGAATATCGCGAGTGAACGAGCGTCGAAAGTGTCCAAGGATGATCGCGCGACTTTTATAGTGTGTCGATGAAAACGCGCGACAGCGATTTTTGACGATATTCAGTGATGGCGTCATTGCGAAGATGGAGCGAAATTGCGTCGCGTTATTCGGGCCCTTGATGATGATTATCGGATGCGAGCGAGTATCGAGAGTGCCGAATAAAGTGTCGCGCGTTCGCGTTGATGATATCGTGTGGATTTGTGTGCATCAAGATCGGAATGGGACGTCCCGAGGCGAGCGAACTGTCCCGAGGAGGAGCGGCCTGTGGAACAGCCGGTGAGTAGATTTGATATCATATTTGCGTGATAATTTGTGCTCATTCGACGCTTATACAGCATCGCGATGTCCCGAATTACATTCGGACAAATCGGCATCATAATTCGATTCGGTGCAATTCAAATAAAGTCGATCGCGTGAAGATGGTTATGCTAGAAGCGATTTCAAATTTATTTTGTACGCGCGCGCAATGCTGCACAGCCTATCTCGTAGGGCTGCCAACTGTTAAACGAAATTTGTTTGATCTAACCTAACCTAACCTAACCTAATCTCTCAGTGGCTTTGGATATCGAATGTAAATATAAGCGTATGCTGCCTGGATTGTATCATGCTTTCAAAAATAATATTTAATTATTTCATTAGTGTATTACATTTTATTACGTAGTATATTAATCGCATTAAATGTGCGACGTACAGTTTTACACATTTTAATGAGGAGCATATAATATAATTGGTTAGGTTAGATTAAATTAAAACAAGCTGCTGTGATTCATTTAACGTAATAGGATTAATTTGACGAATGTGCAGCTATTGAAGTTATATGATATTTGTGGACACATTTTTAAAGTAATCATGAGTGTCTTATCTCATCTTGATTATATGAAATTAAAATATAAAATATTTATGTATTCCACATTAATTATTCATTACAAGTACTATATTACTTTTCTTATATCTCAATCATATTTCATTGATGAAGCTTTTCATATATCGCAGACAATATGATACTGTGTGTGCAATTTTATACAGGTAATACATGGCACAAAAATAATTTGTTCTCAAGTATTGTGCGCATTTCTCAAAAATAAATTAAATTAAATTATTTTAAGTAAGAT